AAAAATTCCATTAACAATTTAAAAGTCCATTTTGAAAATATCAACATAATCACGCTATTTTTCTTATATTCACACATATTTTGATTTCTTTTGAAATCACAAAAAAAATTCCACAAAATAAGTAAAAATAAAGAAAACTGATTCATTCATTTCAGAAAAATAACTGATTTTTAAGAAAAAAAAAGAGGTGCTAAAAAATTAATAAATATTTATTAAATTTTTTATTTTATAAAAATAAATTTTTCATAATCACTTATTTATAATTTAACAATGGTGAATCACACTAATTTACGTAAAAAAATGATTTTATTCAATGCGTGGCATTTCCTTTTGGAATTTACGTATATGCATATATGTACATATATAAAAAATTTTTATAACAAAATAACATAAAAATTTTTGTTTTTGAATAAAGGCTTTACAGATTCTGAACAAACCCGCAAAAAGTAGATACATACATATTTATAAAGTAATATATGCAAGCTATTGTGAATTAAAAATATTATGAAGAAAGAAATAATTTAATAAAATTGTTTTAGAAAAAATTCTTCGAAACATATAGGAATACAAAACATAAGATATTTCCTTTGTGTATGTTGAGTATTCGAAAATAATTTTATATTTGATAGACTAAGCAAATAGATGTTTACGGTACCATGGTAAAAACAGTTCGAAATAAAATTCCGTACTATCGTAATATAGAAATAAAATTTGAATGTTGTATCGATAGTTCTCACGTGCTTATAATCTATATATTTAGTAACTACAAGTATTCCAAATTTTTAAAAGAATAAGTTTAAGAAGAATAATGAATTGAAATTACATGTTTGTATAATATGTAGAGAAATAATTAATCTCTTGAAAAAAAGGCAAAAGTTCAAAATATCATTTAAATATTTTTAGGTAATTTTAAATTTTCTTAAAAATATTTAAGTTTTCCGTCTTACCCATATATGAACCATCACTGGACCCTACCTGACGATGGTTTATCTGAAAAGAATGGGCAAGACGGAGGCCGACGTCTCTTATCTTTGCCTGGAAGAGGAAAAAATGTTCGTGCTCTTATTGTGTGTGAATGCGAAAGGATGACTTGCCTACGGCTGAAATGCTTCAGAAGAAGCATTCTGAAGCTGATATAGGTCCCGCCGATTTAGGTGGCTCCTATACTGCAATTTGTCAGGGGCCTAGATATAGTGCTAATGTAGGCGAGGTAGGGAATCAGCTAATGTAGGCGAGGATGGGCCTTGGTCCCTTATGGTGAATCAGTAAATTTATTATATTTATTTTTAATATTCATTTCAAATTCAATTTTAATTTCTTAATAAATATTTCCGTTTATAACTAAAATACAAAAAAAAAATTTTGTACAGACAATTATTCCTGTAAACAAAAAATAATACACTAATAACCAAATGTAAAATCTTATAAAATCATCAGAATTCCCGTTTTCTTTGGAAATGAGAACATGTTTAAAAAAATTTTGACATTTTAAAGTGACATATTTACAAATACATATAGTTAGTTATGTATGTTCATCCAATGTCTACATCGCACAGAAATAAACGCGTGCAAAGTAATAATAACTTAAAAGATAAATATACTTGTATAAAGCTCGGTTCAAAGCATCTTTACAGGCATTTGCTTAATAAATTATCAATTTGTTTTAATTAAAACACTATCAAAAACTAATATAAATTTTTAGAATTTTCAAACTAAAATTATACTTTGAAAGATAATATAAATCTTTAAATCAAATAATCAAATTCCAAAATAACACACGCACTTTAAATAAATGTAAAATTTATAATACCCAATACCTTTCCAATATATCGTGCAGGAATTATAAGAAAAAAATTCATAGGAAAGGAATTTTTTAGAAAATATATACAAATACTTAGTAAAACATCCTGAGATCTAAATTAAATGCAAAAAAAAAAAAATTCTTTTAACAATTTCATTTTGATATTTTATTCTTGAATACATACATATGTACATACTTCTCTTTCATTCAGAATGCTTGAAAAATTTTAATACACCTACACACACAATACAATACCACTCTCAAATTTTTATTAAAAAAATATAATCTACATTCTAAGATTGTGCCTATTTCACAATTTTCAAATATTTTTTTTTATTGAATTTCACTTTAATTTTAAGTATTTTCTTTTCGAATTTTCTTTAAATCTTAGTGTTGTTAAAGAAGAAAATATTTACAAGTATGTAGTATATAGAAATTTAAATTTAATTTTTAATTTATTTGTGATTTTTTTCTCATGAAATTTTTATAATTTTGCAAATATGTGAACCTACATATATTATTATATACACATACATAACATTTTGATTTTACAGAATTTTGATTTCGAAAATATTTAATTATTTTGATTTTAATAATTTTCACTTAAATAGTTTTTCATTTTCAAGCTCCAATTCTTCAAAATTTTATAGATCATTAAATAATTTTAATTAAATAAAATTGTGAATATATAATTGTTTATTCAAGGTTATATACAATGTAAGCATACAACACATTTAAATACAAATTAAATTAAGTAGTTTGTATTTATTATCAGAAATAAGTTCTTAATTAAAATAGAAAAATTAAATATATACATGGAAAAAAATTAGTAATGACGAAGTTATTCAAATGAAAATTTATTAATAATTACGATTTTGTTTATTAATTAAAGTTAATAAATTTTTTGAAATAATAGTTTGGTAGACTGTTAAAATAAATCTAATTTAGAGAATTTTTGCACTCCCTATTCTTATATTAACACAGATTCCATAATTTCAAATTCCATAAAAGTTTCAAAACGACGCTCATAAGATGTGATTGGTAAATTAACTTCTAAATTGGAGTCAAGCATATAGTCATTAAATAAAACTCCAAATAAGAAGATACAATTTTACTTGAAATACAATGTTATTTGAAATTATTGTTCAATGAAATCTTTTTGAAGTTATAATAAGGAATAATTGCCCAAAAACCTGCAATCTTCATACTTGTTTAATAATGGATCATTAAATTTTGCAGTGCAAGTTTAAAACTGACAATAAATTTGACATGGGCTTTAATAAACATTAAAACAAACAGTCCAAAACAAAATACATAACAGGATTATTGAACCCTATTGAGGTTACAAAAATTTTAATTTTTCATTTTGTTATTGTAATCAATATTCTTCTAACATTTCTTATAATTCTAAATGTTATTCTAAAAGGTCAAAATATAAGTTTTTATTATAATTTATTCAAACAAAAAAAAAAAATATTGTTTCAAATTTTGGATGGTAATCAAAAAATATTCACCCTTTCTACCTGCCACTGTGAATTAACAATAAAAACACATGTATGTTTATATGTACATATATAAAATATTTTCATATGCCTTAATAATTTTTTCTTCCTTAATTTATAAACTTTCAAAAGCAACACTCCATTCCATTCAACAAATTTATAACGTAATTTCGAATAAAATCAACTAATAATTGGTCTGTTATAAAGCTAATCAAATATTATAAAAAATAATAATTATTTAAGAATAATAAAAAATTTACAAAGTATACTGGATAAACAAATAGGTTGACATAAAACAAAAAAAAAAACAATAAAAACATAAACTTGTAACAAAACGGAAATAAGATGAGACCAAAATAAAGAAAAACAGGAAGGCAACAATAAGCATTAAAAAAAAAAACTTAAAATAGAAGTCCTCTAAATATTGAAAAAAATTAACTGAGAAGCCAACAAAATGGAAAATTTACGTCGTTCCTTTTTTCTTTTTTTTTTTATTTCCACATTGTTTTTCTTTCTCTTTCTTTCTCTGTCTTTTCTTTTCTTTGACCTATTTGAAAGGATATGAGCAACGAAAGGACAAACATATGGTTTATAAAAATAATAATGGTTATAACAATAAAAATTTTTATAAAGGTGACTAATAAAAACAATAAAAAACAAAATACCAACAACTACAAATAACCAATAATATTTATTGGTCTCCATTATATAAAAGTTTTATACAACAAAAAAGAAAAACCCATTGAGCAGAAATTATTTGTACCTTTGAAAAATAAAAAATTTGAAGAGATATTTTATTTAGGAATATTCATTTAAAATAAATTTGATATTTATAAAATTTGATTGTCTAAAAACAAATTAACATAATTTTGTAGCTTATAATGGCTACATTTAAAATCACCAAAAAACCTAACAACTTAAAGATGGTAACTGGATTCAATTATAATTTTCCCAATATTTTATAATTTTTTATACTTTTTTGCATTTGAGAAATCGATTAGATTTTAATAATCGAAAATATAAAATTGAAATATAAACCTTAATAGCATAACAACAGTTTTTGGCTTAATACACTAAATTGATGAAAGAACAATAAATATTCTTGATGAAAGATCAATGAATTTTAAATATTCTTTTGCACTATTTATATTTTAATGAATTATACCTTGCTACTAAAATTTCTGTTAGTAAGTTTTGAATTCATCTTAATAGATTTATGTGATTGTCTAAATCAACATTATTTTGCTTAATGAACAAATTCATTTTAAAAATTTATTGCTTTATTAATTACATTTTTCTAATATCTAATAAAAATTCAAGAAAACCTTCAAGAAAAATTTTAAAAATTCTACTAGTACTACATAAATATTTATGGTATATATAGTATATTAATTATTGGTAACTAAAATATTTAAATAAACTACCTAATGACCCTAATGATGACTCTAAAAGAAATTCAAATTTTATAAATTTATAAATTAAACTGTTTAGATTTATTTATTAATAAAAAATATCAAATGCATTCTCTCCTTCCCCCACCCCTCTTCCAAATTTGTTTGAACATGTGTCGAACATATTTAATTTCATAAATATACGTAAAATAGATAATTGCAGTTTAAATTCTAAAAGAAAATATTTTCTTAATTAGAGAATTGAAATTCATTAAGGAATATACATGATGTTATCCAAATATAAAATTATGCATCTAGACATAATTTTGTATCTAATACAAGCCTAAATATTAGCAAATTAAAAATAGATAGTATAGCCTAAAATTCATAAAAATATATAGTCTTATATTAAATTTATTTAAATATAAAAATGTAGTCTTATATTAAATTTATTTAAATATAAAAACAAGAATATACCCTACTATTAAGCTACAATTAGTAAAATATTGACATATAAGATTGTCTGTTTGTATACCTAAATATTTATTATGCACATAATATTTATTTATTATTATATATCATATACATACATATATTAATTTACACGAGATACAACTTACAAAATTATTAATATAAAATTGAGTTCATATGGCAAGCAGTAAAAATCAGAATATAAATTTTTTTTAAACAGCATCAAGTATAATATCACTTTAATAAAAAACTTAAGAACGTGATACTGTAAAATAATACACGTGAATTATTTTCAATTGTTATCGTAAATGAAAACGTGATTCGGGTAATTCATAATCACACTTTAATATAAATATATAATCAAATGCATATACTAAATATTTTTTTTATTAATAATTGTATTCAGATATGGGTTCATTTCGGTTAAAGAATTTTCTTATGTTTAATAAATATTTTAAATTGAATTAAATTTGTAAACATTAAAATAGTAAATGCAAAAATTTTAAAATCAAATATTTCAAAATTATTTTATAATTTATTATAGAATCGAAAATGGCAAGAATATAATATTAATTTAAAATTTTAAACAATATAATTTAATAATATAGCAATAAGAATATCGTTGCCAAAGTGGAAGCTTGTTTATATTTCAATATTTATAAAAGTCCTGAAAATGTTACATGTTTTATAGATTGAGGTATTTTCTTTGGAGGAATTATTAATAAGAGTTTATTTTAGTTTTCCCATCCGGGCTCTGTTGAAATTCAAATTTTATCAAAAATAAATTTTTTTTCAAATAAAATAATAGGAATTTTTTTTGCAAATAAAATAATAACCAGATAATAATAACTCTTATCAGTATTTTTAATGCAGTGGATTTTTACGCATTTGAATTGTTTAAGTTATTTTTTTTCCCTTGAATATAGGAAACTTTCACAAACTGATAGTACTGATAAATGAAATTATCAAGCTAGATACGTAAAAGTTGCTTATATATTCGCAAAAAAAAAACTGAATATTGGTAGGGTTCAACAATTTTTTTTTAATATACATATGTACATGTACGTATATATCGCTTGAATAGTATTATGATGACAATGTTTTCTTCAAGAATATTTATTTTAATTATTAGTTGTTTAAAATGATTTTATCAAAAAGAATTATATAAATTAGAAGCATAATTATATTTATATATACGTGCACATATATATATAAAGGAATTTTTAAATTTATTAACATTCAAATTTAAAAAATCTCTAAGAAGAGGAAATTGTTGAGCACAACTTTTTTAAATGCTAAATTATTTTGTAAATGTAAAAATATTGTGTTCAAAAGCACTCTAATACGAATCACTCAACTTTTGTTTAGAATCGGATACAATAAGAGTATGCATAAAATAATTGTGTATTCTAAATTTTTAAAATATTGTTTCTGTTTAAACTAGAGTCTCAACAATGGCAACAATAAATTCAAAAAGCTATATAAAATTTAAATAAAGATTAAAATTAAATTGACTTACCGATCAAATATCCTTGCTTCTTTCAAAACATTTCCTAAATTTATGTATGCATCCAAAAAATTAGGGTCCAATGTTACAGCTTTTTCAAAATGATGTATTGCTAACCAAATTTCCCCTTGAGCATTAAAAACACAACCCAAATTACTCCATGCAACAGCAAAACCTGGACAAGTTTCAATTGCTTTTAAATAACAGGCCTGAAAATATGGATTATGTTTTTAGAATACATACATACATATCTAATAATAATATATTCATACATTTTATTTGAAAGTTTTAAATTTAAAAGAAAAAAACGTATTTTACACTATAATAGAAACATGATATTAATTAATATACAAAATTTTTGGCTAAAATATTACGTTTATAATACCAATAAATTTCAGAAATAATTTCATCACATTTTGACATTTCAGAGAAAAAATGATTGCTTATTTTTTTCCATAAAATTTTATATAGCCTGTTTCTATAAAAATTATGTTCGAATTTAAATGAAAATATTTTAAGTAATTTCTTTTATAAACAATAAATATAATTTCTTTTAAAAATACATAATAAATACATAATTTTTATAATTTTTCTCTTATAAAAAATTATACTTATTTTTATAAATTATGTTTCGGTGCATTTTCATTTTTGTAACTAAATTTCAGAAACGCAAATAGTTTTAAAAATTCAATTGCTTATTATTTTTACTTTACATTTTCTTTGAAAAATTCATAATAATGAAATCAAAAATAATACAAAGTTACCAATGTGTTTTAAATTTTTAACTAAAATCAGTAATTATAACAGCAATAAATTATGTTTAATAAGATTTTAAATTAAAACTTATATTGAAAAGTTATAAAAACGAATGTTTCTCAATATTAATAATGTACATATTTCATTTCGTTTATCAGTAACTTCATTAACTTAGTTAAATAAGGTATAAATTAAAAGATTATTCTATTACTTAAAGTGTTCGGAAAAGACATGAAATATTCTGGGAACATAATATCTATATGTATACTAATTAGAGGCTGAATACTTAATTAACTTAATCATTCATGGATTTTTGCTTAAAACCAGAATTTTTCGACGTTTTCACATTGTTTTCTACATATGTATATACATTGCAATTTCAAAGGTGAATTAGCTTTTATTAGCAAGAATGTTATAATATACAATAGTTTTTCAAGAAATTATTGATTGCAATTATTTTTAATCCTAAATTAATAACAGCAAATGTGACACAATAATACTATGCTATAACAATTTTATATTATTTAAATTTATTACGACTTAATGTGTATGTTATAAAAAATTTATTATGCATTCATGCGAAAAAGAACATTTTTTTATTGGTAGAAAGTGGAATAAAAAATTTCTTTAACATATTCTTTTACCAACACGTGGTACATATTTTGTTTTTTACATGTTGATTTTTATTCTGTCTTTTTTTCGTTTTTCTAAATGAATAAACTATAAAAAGCAATCTAATTTCAAATTTTTGAGATAGATTCAAAAGATTTGAGATGGATTCAAGTTTTATAAGAAAAAAATACTACAAGTTTTAAGAAAATACTACAGTTATAAGAAAAAGTTAACAGAAAAATATTGTTTTCAGAAAACGTTTTAAAAATTCGGAAATTTAATAAATATTTCCGTTTATTAACTTTAACCACACACCAAATTTATAAACATATCATTATAGAATATATAGACCTTAATTTATTGTCTGCAACAAATTAAAATTTCAGTTATGTATTAAGTTAATATGTAATTTTATTAAAGATTTTTTTCAAATCGATATTTTCCTATTTTTTTTTTTAAGTTTTGGTTGTAAGCCCGCGGTCAAATGATTCAATGATTGGAAAGCAATCATTTTCCCTAATTACATTTAACTGAATTACATCGCGGTTAATTACCACGAAAGTTAAATATAACAATATTAAAATATTTGCAATATAATTTTAAAATTATGTTGCATTCCTAAGATTTTCGAAATTTTGACTATAATCGGATGAACATATAAATTTAATTTTTATGGCTAAACATAAAAACATTTGTACCTTTGCTTCTTCCAATCTCCCCAAAGCTTTTAATAAATTTCCTAAATCACTTCGTACGCAATACAAATCCTAAAATATAAATGTCATGAATAAGTAACATGTACAGAACAAAATGTTATTTGAAATATTTTATTTACCGGATTGTATTGTAATGCAGTCACATAAGCTTGTACTGCTGATTCCATGTCACGTGCAGCAACTAAGGCTGCTGCCAAATTAATATATCCGTCAATAAAATCTGGTTTCAATCGCACAGCATGACGATAATTTTCCAAAGCTTCTTGTAATTGACCTCTTTCTTTATATACATTTCCGAGATTGCTGAAATAATGAATTAAAATTAAATATAAATTTTATCAAAAAGTTACTTTTGTTCAAAGCCCTCTAAGACTATTAATAATATAGTATATTTAATAAACACATTTTAAGAACAAATTTTATACCTGTAAGCCTCTGCCAACAGTGGATTTTGTTTAATAGCCAGTGTTGAGAACTGCGCTGATTTATCTAAACGACGACATTGAAAGTGGATCGATGATAGTAATAACAGCACACCAGTGTTGCTACTATCTTGCCGCCAAAGTTGCATACAATGTTTTTCGGCATTTTCATAATCAACCGCTTGATATTCTCGATGAGCCAATTCCAGTAAACCTAAATTGAATTTTAATTAATGTTTTTTTTTTGTTAAGAATTTAAAGAATATATCGTTTAAACTAATAAAAAAATAAATGTACATATGTATATTAGCAATGAATGGTTTTAGGCATTTATTTATAGATACCATTTTCATAGATACACGTGCATATTTTAAATTGTAAACATTATATTTCTTGATATAATGTTGAATATATGACTGCAAAAATTTATAAAGAATTTATTTAAAATATTTGAATTTTGAATCGCAATATGTATTTTTCTCACAAGATACGGAAAATCAGATATGTATTGTAAATATTCACAAATCGTTTGAAAAAGAAAAACGAAAAATCGAAAACAAAAAGAAAAGCATAATATACGCCAAAGTTGTGAAAGCAAAGAAGAGACATAAACATTTATGATGAAGAAAAACTATGAAATATTTAAATAATATAGAAATTATTAAAATATCCCATTTTAGCTTACATAATGTAAAAGTTAATAAGTTATTGTATTTTTGAAATAAAGAAGGTACACCTATACCTAGCGCTAATTGTTCTAATTATAGATTAACGTCATTTATGGTTCTATGTTTTTCTCTTTCATATCGGAAAATTTTGATGATGATAATTAGGCAGACATTTCGCCTCGCCTCTATTAAATTTGATAGACAAATAATATAGTGTATCAAGCTATACACTCGTACAATGATGAATGAGATTATGAAAATAATGGTGGACAATTAGAAAAAATATTTATTATAATAAAAATTCATATTAATTACTTAATATTATAAAAATATTATTATCTCACCATATGATCATTTAAAGTATTCTTAATACACCGAATTTATTATTGTTATTCTTTTCTTTGTGCATTTCTTATATAAAAGGGTAAAAAATATTTAATCGGAAAATTTTTGATTTTTATTTAACCTTGATAGCGAAAAAGATGTGTCACGGCAATATAGATACATAACCATATATTTACAACAACAAATGATAAAACTGCATTAAGCCATTATTGATTTTCCGGTCGATTTTCGATTTCATCTCTTTTCATCATTTCAAAAGTGAAATTCAAGTTTATTAAAAAAAAATGCAATAGTACTTACCGACAGAAGATTGTACATCATTTATTTTTGCCACATTTTGTTGTGGTTGCTGTTGAATTTGCTGAGCCTGCTGCATATTACTATCCAATGTGTCCAACTTGATAGCGGACTTATATTTTGAATTTAGAGATTTGCTCCAGTAGAATATCAAAACTTTCTAAGATAAATATAGTAATTGATATAAAAATAAAATATTTTAATACCGTAGCACGAATTTTTTTGTTTTTTACTTGGTCTGGTTTAAATTTTTACAACACTAATAAGCTATTTTACTTTTGTTTGCGTACTGCGAAACTCGTATTTCTCAACTTTTTACACATCAATAAATTATTTGAAATGAATTTATATTTTAAATTTTTATTTAATAATAAAATTTCTGTATTAATTTTCTCGAGTAAACATTAATTAACAAACTTTAAAGGAATAATTTCAATTTTTAACTATATTATTGCAAAAAAAAAATTTTCCCTATTTAATCGATCTGATCTTTGGCTATGGCGAGTAGCGACAGAAAATTTACCACAAAGTACATTAAAAAAAATATGTGAAAAAAATACAGTTTTCCTTTTTATACTTAGACAAAGATATCAAATCGAAAAAAGATAGCAAATAGCAAAAGACTAAAAGCAGATGTTCTCTAAGGAAAACAAAAACAAAATTTGCTTCAAAAAATCAACAAATGCAATTTGCTGTCAAAATGACATGCCATTTAAGAAGTGTGGTGCACCACTTAAAGTGGTTGTAGTGTTATTATGTTTACAATAAAATTCCAAATTTATTTTTAAATTTTTTCTTTATTTATGAATTTCTAACAACAGATAATATGTCGAGGATGCAGAGGATGTTAATTAAATAGAAAAATTAATTTTAATTAAAAAAATCACGGCCTTTTATATTTTATGTAACTCGAAATATGTTGTAGATAAAGCACTAAAAGCCTTGGCAACACTTCTTTATATTTTTTAAGAACTTGCGCAACACTACCTTTTCTACATTATCGACGATAAAGTTGTTTAACGTATAAATTGCCAAAACTTTGAAATAACATACTTTAACATTCCATGATTTGTTCATTACTAGCATTTTTCTCGTTGTTCTCAACAGCAATGGCGGCAAATAAGGAACGTACATTTATTATGGTAAAACCCGATGGAGTCCATCGTGGATTAGTTGGAAAAATTATCGAAAGATTTGAACAAAAAGGATTCAAGTTGGTTGCTATGAAGTTCATGTGGGTAAGTGTAAAAATCCTTAATTTAATTAAAGTAAACTTTGTGTTATGTACATATAAGTAAGTGCATAATGTAATCATCGTGTCATAAAATCCAATTATAATACATACTTTGCTTTTTCCAATCGTTCAAAAAATCGATTTTTAAATGTTTTGTAAAACAAATTTTATATTGTTTTATGTAATATGAATACGGTATTAAAGCGGTTACCATAAAGATAGAAAAGTACCTAATCAACATAACCTCTAAAAGAAATCTCTCTGAAACACGTTGCTTATCCGTAAAATTATTTGAAACATTGTTCTTTAAAATATTTAAATAAGTAATTTAATAATTTTTCCACAGGCAAGCAAAGAACATCTGGAAAAACACTATGCAGATCTTGCTGGTCGTCCATTTTTCAATGGTCTAGTAGAATATATGAGTTCTGGACCTGTAGTTCCAATGGTATGGGAAGGATTAAATGTTGTAAAGACTGGTCGCCAAATGCTTGGAGCTACAAATCCAGCTGATTCTATGCCAGGAACCATACGTGGTGATTTTTGCATTCAAGTTGGAAGAAATATAATCCATGGATCAGATGCTGTTGAATCAGCCAATAAAGAAATTGCTCTTTGGTTCAACGAGAAAGAGTTAGTATCATGGTCTCCAGCCGCTGAAAATTGGGTTTATGAATGAATAGACAATAAATTTATATTAAAATATAAATTATAAGATTCTAAAATAAAGTGTACGGTCGCAAATATTAACTGTAAAATAATATTCCATTTGTATATTTATTAGTTAAAAAAAATGTCGCCTAATAAATATCTATGAAAAATACAGATTAATTTTAATATTATTTTTTGAAATTTGCATCTTATGACCTAATAAAGGCAAACTCTTTTATGACCCATCATAAATCGTTGCATGAAATATTTGCTAATACAATAAATAGTGCATATTGTCATGTCATATCACTTTTTCTGAATTTATTAGCTTTTAAATTTCCCTACATGTGTACATTTTTGTATGTGTAGTAGCAAATGTCAATTTTAATATCCACGGTAGATGTGCGCATGAATCGTATTCAATTTTGTTTTTGACAATAAGAAATTTTTATTGAAGCTAAAGTGAAGAAAAAATTTGCACTATTTTTTGTCAATTATAGAAAATAATTTTTAAAATCATAAAAAAAGACAAGTTTGCGATTAAAATATTTTTAAAGGAATGGCAGCATCCAAAAAAATCGAAGAAGGCCAGGAGTTGATGAGGCAAGCTGAAAAAAGGTAAATTTCTATATTGAAAATTCGAATTACATGACTGTACAGTACAAGATGTTAAAATAAATTTGTATCTATTATTTCTAAAGTTTAAAAACATCTATACTTAAATGGAGACCTGATTATGAAATAGCAAGTGATGAATATCAAAAAGCTGGTGAGTTTAATAATCTTGATATCTACTTGAGAATTAAATAAAATTTATTACATACTTACCTATGCAAAATAAATTTTCTTCAATCGATTTTTCTTGATGACGTTCCTCTAGTTTGTTACATTAATTTCTTCGTTTTCCTTAGTTTGCTAAATTTTGTAAAAAATATTTAAAGTTATAAAAATCTGATAATTGTTTCTGGTGTTTTTAATTTCTGTAGCTACATGTTTTCGGATTGCAAAATCGTATGATCAAAGTAAAGATTGTTTTTTGAAAGCAATTGAATGTCATAAACAATCGAAGTCATGGTTCCACGCAGCGAAATGCTACGAACAAATAATTCTCATTTTAAAAGAAACAAATAACCTTTTAGAAGTCGAGCCAACTGCAAATAAGGCATGTAGTTTGTACCAGCAGCATGGATCTCCTGAGTCGGGGGCCTCGGCATTAGATAAAGCAGCTAAAGTAGTTGAACACGCCCATCCGGATGTAGCTCTACGTTTATATCAACATGCACTTGAAGTAGTTATGATTGAAGAATCAACTAGGCAAGCTGCTGAATTTGCGTCGAAAATCTCTAGAATATTAGTAAAACTGGGATTGTAAGTTATTTTGAATACAATATGCTAATGAGTACCTACAACATATTCAAATTATGAATATAATTATATTCATTGATTTCACATAGAAAGCCCTTAATTTAGCATTGAACCAAATTGCAGGTTTGATCAGGCTACGGATGCTTTACGTCGTGAAATTGGACTAAATCAACAAACTGATTCGTATCAAGCTATTGGAAGATTGGCCGTTGTCTTAGTTTTAGTGCAACTAGCGCGTGGAGATTATGTAGCAGCTGAGAAAGCCTTTAAAGAATGGGGGAATTGTTGTGATCCCCAAGAAGTCCAGACTCTAGAAATGCTTTTACAGGCCTATGATGATGAAGATCCCGATCAAGCCAGACAAGCTCTTTCGTCACCATTTATCAGACATATGGATGTTGAATATGCAAAATTAGCTCGTGATTTACCTTTACCCAAAGGAATTGCAACTGCACCGAAAGCTAATGTTATAGAAAATGCTACAGCATCGTATAAATCTCCAAACGCTGGCAGTGTAAGTACAAATCAAGAACGAAATTTCGGATTTTAGTAACTACAAAAGGAAACGATATAATTAAACGAAAATTAATACATTTTAGGTGTCTCCAGGGGATGCTCCATCTTCTGGCGGAGTTGAGGAAGACGAGGAAGAAGAAGGTGCATTATGTTAGTTTTCTTATTAATATTCAACCCCTGTTTATAAAAGAGTGAAAGTGAGTTAATTTAAAAAAAAAAATACTTTTTAAAAGGAGTAAGTTCGCTGTGTACAAGGTATTCCGTTGAAAAGAAAATTAAAAACAAGAAATATATTATGAAAGAATTCAGGCCATTTTCAAAACATATAATAATGTAAGAAAAATTCAACGATTTTACGGTCTCATATTGAAATTAAGCTTCTTAATGCATAATTTAAAGAATAGAAAAAAGAAAAGACTGATTAATGGTAATGTTCTGACTATTGCTTGAATTAAAATTAATAATTATTAATATTGAAAAATTCCAGTAGATCAATATATCAAAATGAAAATTAAGATAACAGAAATCAATATTTTACTAAAAACAAAAAATTTTTAACAAAAGGAATATCTAAATATAAAACTAGTTTTCAAATTTCTTTTTTTTATTCTCATTACGCATTTATTGAATAATGTTTTTTGATTTTTTAAAGTCACCAGATTTGAATAAAAAAATTAAAACTCAAGTAAATTGCAATTAAAAAATTGAATTGTACTTGAACATATATATTTTAATTTAAACAAATTGAAAATTTTTTTCTAAATTACTATATTCGAATTACCTTACGTAATTCAAAATATCACATTATTAAAATAAATTCAAAACAAAATTTATGTATTTTTTATACCATAAAATATAAAAAATGGATAAGTAGTATTAGAAAAAAAAAATTAATATATTTAAATATTTCATTCAATTTATTTACGATTAACGGTATGCCTTGTATATTTAAAAAAACATGTTTAGAATAGAAATCGTATATGTATGGTTATAAAAAAGAAAGCAAAAAATTCCATTGAAATAAAAACAAAATAAAGTTTAGAAACAAAAATTCATTTTAAAAATATGCTACTTCAAAAAATAATTAACAAATTTAAGTAAAAATCTAAAAGCAGTAAAAAAAAATCCATATTGAAATAACAATTCCATTATATTTTACTTAAACATTTGCAATAAAATTCCTAATTAATATTATTTTATTTTCCAAACAAAAATATCTTTGGAAAGAAAATCATCTGATGTTCGTCTAATAAACACTTTAAAAAAAAAAACTTTTTATTTCTATTGTAAATAAAATACATATTATTATATAAAACTATTTAATAAATCTACTCCTATAATTAAAAGAAAATGATATCCCTATCATTCTTTCATATAAAAACATTTACTCCACTTTTGTTGTTAATACAATATATTGATCAAGTGTATATAATATGCATCTAAATATATATACTATATAAATGTATGTATTTAAATGCGTATATATATATATATATACATGTATTATAAATATATTACATAAATTAAATATATATAGTTATAAATTTTTTAGTAAATTTTAGTTTTTAATATTTGCATTGAAAATAATTTAAAATTTATTAGAACTTACTTATAGATATATTGAACATATTATTTAAATTTTATATTTTAAATTTAATGTAATTATAGCATTTATAATTTAAAATTTTCAAATTTTTATTTTGTATATTTTGAAAAGAAAGATAAACATTTATTTAATTTTTGCTTCCTTTATAAAATTATGTAATAATAATAGGTTTTAATTTTAAGAATAAATAGTTAAAAGATTATACATACTAATAATAAAAACAATAGTAATATAATAATAATAATAATAATAATAATAATAATAATAATAATGCAAAAATATTTAAGAAAAAAAAAAACTATAAATAAACAAATGAAAACACTGTTAAATATATATATATATATATATATATAAATTAAATTTATATTTATTTAAAATTAAAACAAAAATAAAATCCGTAAGACATGTTAAAATTGATTCAATGTTTTTAAAAACGAATTAATAATGTTATAGTATATTAATATATAAGTATATATCTATAAATGTTCATAAATATACAAAATATTTATAAAATATTGAATATTAACATATATATTTATTTATATGTGTACATATATAATAATTGTAACATTATATATTTTACGTACTAATTTATGGTATATGAAAAATATTCGGAGCAAATGTTACAAAAAAGAATAAAATTTATTTGAAAAAAAAATATGTTGCTAAAAATTGACATTAACAAAAAGTTATTGATTGAAGAAGCTTTTAATTTCTAAAAATTTTAATAAATTTCATATTTTTATTTTTGTGTTATTTTTTAATATTTTTTATAATGGAATTTCAAACCTGTCTGCGAATGTATATCCACAGGCATTTTAGTATAAAAAAAAATATACATCCATTATTTTTTTATCATTGTTCTAAAAATAATAGTAAATATGATCTTATTAAACTTTATTTTCTCATGAAAAAAATAATGAACGACGACGCTTATTAATTAGTCCAACCTTTTTTATATTCGTTTCTCGTAAGTAGAAACCAAATTATTATATGTATATAACAATAAAAATATTGATCTCGATATAAGAAATTCTGTCATTGATTTTAACTTATAAACATTATTAAAATGTAATTCATTTGATCATGGAAATTTTTAAAATGATTATTTATGTTAAATAGATAATTTCACAAAAATTATGTTTGAATTAGCAAGTTGTTTTCCTATTATCTTTTCTGTTCATTTGCCATAATTAGACTCTTACTCAATTTTTTTTCTTATTTTTTAACAGCAATCGATATTAAAATGTTTTATAAAAAAAATACTTATTTAAAAGTTATTATAATAATAAATTAAATAATATAATAACATGCATACAAATCTAATATTTGTGAATTTATCAAAAATTAAAATATGTATTTTGTATGTCTCCAAGCAAAATTTATATTTAATCTTAACATAAATAATCACGAAAAAAAAAACTTTTTTATATCATTGTTATTCAAAGTAAAACAATATTTTTTCTTAAATAACAATTTAAAATTACAAAAATAAACAAAAACAATAAATTTTCGCACAATAAATTTTTAAAAAATACTACTATTTATGCATTCTATTTTTCTCCCGCATTACTATTATCATTAAAAAATATAACATTGGTATAAAAGTTTTTTTGAAGATTTTTTTTTTTATATTTGTATTATTTAAATTTTGCTCTGACTATATTTCATATTGTTCATTTTATTTTTTCCTTTAATCTAGGGCGAATATGTGTTATAAAAGAAAATTTATTGTAAATTAGGTTAATCAAAATAAAAAAGAAAAATTACAAAAAGAACTATATTGTACATTTAATTTAACACTATTTCGCAAATAAATTTTAAATCGAATTAAAAGAATTATAAAAATAAAAATAAATTTAAAAACCAAATTCAAATGTTTATTTTATTAATCAAAAACCATATATTAGAGAAACTTATGATTTGTTTTAAAATCCTCTATGTATTCAATATTATAAAAATTTTTTAAATAAGTTATTTCTAATTGAAATAAGTTATTTGATACTGCAATAAATTTCCATATTATTTCTGATTTCAACACATTAGTCGAAAAAGAAGTAAGAGCTGCCCGAAAAACATGGTCAGAAATAAAAGAAATAATACAAAATAGAATTAGATAGCGAAGCTTTGTAGATACCCTATGCTAATAGAAAAATGAAAAAAAAAAACTGATTTCAACACAATTGAAAGATAATTCATCATTGGCCTTATGTGAAATAATTAATAAAAATTATGTTGGCATCTTTTTTAACAAAATACGCAATCTTCTTAATTTAAATTAATAATTGATAATATTATACATATGTGCATTTTTTCGAGATTTCATTATATCGGTATTGACACAAAGATTTTCGAAAATTCCGTTCTAACTAATATCTTAATATAAAGCATATTTGATAAATTTTTATTTAAAAAAGAAGAACGTTCGAAAATCACAAAACAGTTCTAAAGCATTGCTTAAAGTTCTGAAGTTCTTAAAGTTCTAAAGCATTGCTAAAAATTTTTGTAACAGTACAAAAAAAAAATTTTTTAAAATTCATATCAAAACTTTAAGTGTATATCTAAATGGTCGACAATCCCCTATAATTAATTGCAGTATCCTCTACTAATCTTTTGTTTTTATGTACGAGCATATCACCTCTTCTTAAGAAGAATAGTAAGTTAGTCTAATGTATTTGAATAATGTAATTTCCAAATGAGAACAATCATCATAATCTATTTTGTTACAAGATACATAATCCAATTTAATTTTGGAGAATATTGTTCAAAATAATTAGGAAATAAAATTTCGGATTTGAGACTGACTGAAAAAAATAAATTCGCAATGAGTTCCTTACGCTTTTGGTTAGGCTTAATTGATGCTGAAAAATTTCATGGAACAAGTTTACGGAGATCCTAATAAATAAAACATTTAAGAATTAAATAATAAAAGATAATTTTTCTTTTTATATAATTATTTCTTTTTTTATTTTGAAAGAATAATTTATTTACAGAATTCATACTTTTATAATTATTTTTTTTTTAGTTTAATGCAACAACTTTTATTCCATACAATTTCATTTAAATGAATTTATTGTATGTTTATAAGTATGTATATGGATATATCAAGCTTTATTACACGAAATTTTATATTTTTATTTAGTATATTTATTAACAAATTGAGCAGCAAAAATTATTTAAAAATATAAATTGCACAAAAAAAAATGCAGTAAAATAAGAAAAATTTTAAAATTTTAAAATAACTTTTTAATTTCAATATAAATTTATTTGATTAGATATTAGTGTAAACATGTATTTTAAATTTTAAAGTAGTAAAAATTTAAAAAAAATACTCTATACGACATTGATATTAATATTAAGTATAATATTAATTCTTTTATTACAGTGATTATTCATTTTAAATTTTATTATAAAATGAAAAATATATCTGTGAGCTGCAAATTTATATGGAAATTTCACAATTCCAATATTTGATAACAATTAAAACCCTGTATAAAAATAAACCTTATCTCATATTTTTACAATAAATAACCTTCTGTTATCTTGAATCGTAAAATTTTGAAACTAATTTTTGCATGTATAGCAGGATAGAACTGTTAATTAACTTTACTTTTCATTCACGGAATACACATGCATATGAAATGGAGATAATAATGGCCTGTTCCAAAACAAAAGTATATGCTGCAGTAACACACTGCAATTGTGTACACACATATTAATTACATTTATACTGGATTGAAATAAAATGTTATTACCAAATTATCTTTTATTACATAAAAATTATTTTTTTTATAAATTTTTAAAATTTTAGACAAAGGTAAGAGCTTTATAAAAATAAAAATTTTTTTGGAACATTCTTCCTTAAATTTGTTAGTGCAATTAGTTTTTCAACTTTAATAAAAAGTTTCCAATAACTGTTGTAAATGGGTGTGCCATGAGTATGGCCAAAGTTCATGCAAAGATAAATTGAAAGCAAAGCGAAATACCAAAAGACTTAATGATTTAATTATTTTTTAATGTTAACATTTTCCTAGAATATACGTACTAGGAATTTGATATTACATGGGATATAGCTCCCATGTCATATTGTAATGTTCTCATGTTATATTAAAATATGACATGGGAGCAACAAAATACCGGTCATAATTTTTGAAAATTAGAAGGGAAAAATGATTTAACATAAATATGTTTGTAAATGAAATTTGTGCCAGTTTCTGTTTTGAACTTTTTAATCCAATTGAATACATTTATTTCAACATTGAAATAAAATATTTATGTTAATAAAATTATGAACATTAAAATGTCTATATGTATGATAATTAAGTATGGCTTGTTGATATTTTCTTGGCATTTCAGATTCAATGATTAATATTGCTTGCAATAAGGGTACAAAAAAGGGGAACCTAAAATTTATGTTCATATGTAGTTTTTAATATTATTTATAAATTTATTAATAATATTGCATATACATATGTATGTGTGCATAATATTCAAGCTATGAAAATAAAAAAAAAGGAAACAAACTTAAATTATATTAAAGCAAATAAAATGTTTTAATGTATAAACTTACAAAAGAGAAATACAAAAAAAATATATACCATGAAAATTATTCTAATGCGTTCACTTATTTTATATGTGGAAAAAGGTATAAAATTAAATTCATCACCATTTTTAAATATTTAAAAATAAAACGGAAAGGTTTTTTATCTTCTTCACTACACTTCACATATTCTCCATTAAATTTATTGTTTTAATAACGATTTTAAAATTAAATACATATATTTAATTTATGATTTTCTTTTATACATTTTTAATACAGATTATCTTCACCCCTATTTTTTGATCTTAATGAAGCACATTTGCTTAAATGTATTTAAATAATATAACTATATCAATATTTTCTAAATAAAATAAAATAAAAATTAATTTTATAAAAGCATTTGAAAAATTAAATTTCTTGACGTTTGAAAATTAGGAAATCAACAAAAACTTGATATTTTATTAATTTTGGTATTTATTTTAATGTAAAATTTATTTGAATTTAGAAAACTAAAAAAATCGTCAAATAATATGTACATATGTACTTATGTGGAAAAAAGCAATAATAGTAACAAAATATACAATTAATATTCTTTTGTATATATTTACTTAATATAAATTGAGTTTGCATAATTGTAATATCTTCCTTTTATTCAATATATACGTATGTATATTAAAAATATAAGTAACATATAATTTTGAAATTTCTGGATTCTGCAACAAAACGTCAAGATATTAATTATATTTAAAACAAACAAAAATTGCGATTGTTCCAAATTATCATCAAAAATAACTGAAAAATAGAGTAAAACAGAAAACAAAAAAGCTAAATAACTTTACATTCTAACTAATGAAGAATTTCTTCATTCTAATAAAATTTAATTTGTTGTATTATCTCCTCAATATTTGTATCTGTACATAGCAACACCGGCGACTCCTATTAGAATTGAGCCCATTAAATACCCTAATAATTTCAACTGAAAATTTTTTTGTGTTCATTAGATTTTATTTTTTTTTAGAAAAACTAAATGAAAACAATTACTTTTGGAAGATCAGTGCTGACTTGTTTATTTGAAGTATTATTTTGTTCCAGCTTTTTAGCACGACCTAACATTTTTTGATACATTATTTTTTCATTTCTTTCTTCTCTTCTAGATTTAATTATTAATTTTGCAAGTTCCTAAAAATAAATTTTTTTTACGGTTTACTTTTTTTTTATAAAATCAAATTTATTACTTGCTGGATGGTTTTACTCTCAGGTTCCAAGGTAGCCGCTTTCTGAAGCAAAGAAATCGCTCCTTTAGTATCACCTTTCGCATCTAAGATCTTCATTGCATAGAAAAAAAGAAAAAAATAAGATAAACAGTTTGGGTTTTAATGATTATGCTTACTTTTCCTTTTCTAAACAAAGCTTTTGAATTGTTTGGTTGACATCTTAAAACTGTTTCCACAGATTTCAAAGCTGCATCGTACGCTGATATTTTTATTTGGGACATTGCCAAGTTATTATATACTATAAGTCGATCTTCCAATAATTCCTGCAATTCGCTGTTTGATAACTGAAAAGAGCTATATTTTAAAAAAATATTTAGTGAATTGAGCATTTAAAACATTACCTCGGCATCAGTAACACCGTCAGTAATGCCACCATTTATATCATCCAAGTATTCAAGGGCCCGTCTATATATCTGAATGGCAATATTAAATTCATTTCGGTTGTACCACCAATTTGCTCTTTCCCTTTTTTGATTTCTTTTAAAGTAAAAATTATGTTACGTTAAAAACCTGCTTTCATATAGAAAATTAAAATATTCTTGAACAACTTAAAAGACTTACCCAATTTTTTTACGAACTTCAAATAATTTAATACTTTCCTCATCTTCCTCTCTGGTGTCCAACAACTCAACAGTGTAAATAATCTATATAACCATAGTATATTTTTTGATAATATTAATTTATATTGCAAGATACACAATAATTTTACCTTAGCGTCTGGTGGAATTGCAGCTATTGAGTATTTAGTTCCGGCTTTTAATCCTATAGAACCATAAGCAAATCTTGGATCGACAGAGATCTCTGCTTTTTCACCAACACTCATGAGTGCCAGTGTCATATCTAACCCTTGTACGACCTAAAATATAGTTTTACAGTAAACAGGAGAATTAGCATAACAAAAAAAATGAAATTACATCAAAGTCTCCAACTTGAACTTCGTAATTTTGTTGTTCCTCAACTATGGTTCCATCCTCAAGCTTACCAACATAATTCATTTTAATTATATGACCTCTTTGAGCTTTAACATCTGATGAACTTTTAACTAAGGTTTTCTTAGTTAGCTGCCCATTACCTAATATATCCAAAATATCGTCTTCAATTTCTGAATTTGAAACTTTATCTTCTTGAGCATTTTCTTTTAAGTCTTTTATATCGTTTTCATTTAAATTTGTTAGATCTTCAAACGAGCTGTTGCTAGATTTTTCAGTATCCATTTTATTTTATAAACAAAATTTAAACCTTGTTCTAAAAAAAAGGTGTTAATATTGATTAAACAAATTATTATTAATTACGTCTGAATTTATATAGGTTTAAAGCTACGTTTCACATTTCTTCTGTCTCAAATGAGAATGCAGTTTTTAATGCATTTAAAAATCATTTATGCCAAAATTTTAATTAGTAAAAAACATCTTACACCTGGTTTTTAAATTATAAAAATACCTATATTACTTACAAAAATTAAGTCACTTTGAATTTAAAATAAAAAATTAAATTTGGAAATTTAACTAGATTTCTAAAATTCATAAGCAAATGACAAAATTTTCTCAGCTAGCACTATCGTCGTCTGTCTGTCACTTTGATTAATTAGAGAGAGCATAAACTGTATGTAGACAATTCAATATATATAAAAGAGCTGAACTATCAAATAAATGTATTGTTTACACTGTGGGATTTTGAATAAATATTTTATATTACTTGTCTACGCTTGTTTTTAAAGATAAAAAAGCAAGAAAGAATGCGACGGTTGTTACCTTTATTATAATCAGGGAAGAAAAACATATAGCAACGATGATTACCCTTAGTCAGCGAAATGAATGCCTTCGCGAATCGAATGGCGTTTCATATTATAATATGATTGCTTTTTTGGCCAGGAGCAAAACATTATTAACTCAAGTTGAAATATGATATTATCATAATAGCTAATACGACAAATAATTATTTATTTTAATTTTTAATAAATTTTTAAATTAAAAAACTACCACTTCACTATCAAATGACAAATCGGAATAAAAACGAAAAAGCATTAAAACAGCTGATTACAGCCCATTTTATTCAATAACTTATGTGTTATACTTCTGCCAAAAATTATTGATGAAAGCAGAACCAATATATTTTTTGGTTTAAGAAAATAATGGATTGATGATGTTTACGTGGTCAATATTCATCAATCTCAATCATGATTGTTAATGTAAGATTGACATTTAAACACATACTTAGATTTGGCAATATCGAATTTTATTGAAATAAAACTGACGTCAAAGCTGACGTGAAAGCGCTACTAAAATAAATGACTGCAAATCTGATATGCAAAATAATTCTATTTTTGAACTCTGAAATATTTTATTTATAATTATTTAATGCATTTATAAATACTACTTGATAAAATTACAAGGATAGAATTATTAACATGACTTGGAAAGCGACTGCGTATACACGGATTAAAAGATTGAAAATGTAAATTATTAAAATAATAATACATGTCAGCTAATGACAAAGTCAAATCAGTTTCAAGTATTATTATTTCAATCTGTACAGTATATACGCAGATTGAAATTTCAAGTTAAGCACTCGATCCGCCATATAAATCCGCCGAGGTATTGATTGTTTCAAAATAATAATTAAAGTGACGGAGGAAATTTTTAATACTTTTAATCTTTTATAGATGTCGTATTTTGTTTGAAATGACATTAGCTATTGAGAACAATGTTTTCTGACATTTTTGTTTTTAAAATGGCTTATTTTTCCTTTTTGACAATTAATTTTCCTCGAAAGGCGCGCACGTGTTTCGCGACGCAATTTTTTTGAAATTTTCCTTATTAAAATAAGAAAATTATACTTAAATATACATAAATTTAAAAAAAATATCTCAACAAATAGAATATGAATCCTGAGAAACTAAAAAAACTTCAAGCTCAAGTAAGAATCGGCGGTAAAGGTACACCTCGCAGAAAGAAGAAGATTGTACATTCCACACCAGCCACAGATGATAAAAAATTACAGTCATCGCTAAAAAAATTGTCAGTGAATACCATTCCAGGAATTGAAGAAGTTAATATTATTAAACATGATGGTACTGTAATACACTTTAACAATCCAAAAGCTCAGGCATCATTACCAACAAATACATTCGCTATAACTGGACATGGTGAAAATAAAACTATTTCAGAAATGTTACCGGGTATTCTGACGCAGTTAGGTCCGCAAGATATTGCACATTTAAAAAAGATTGCTAGTGAATTTGCAAGCAAAAGCGCAGCATCTGGCTTCGGTAATACTGGGGCTGGAAGTGCTGCTGATGATGATGTACCCGATTTGGTGGAAAATTTTGAAGAGGTTGCTATTGGAAAAGGTGAAAATTCTGCAGCTTCATCAGCAGGAACTGAAGCCAATACAACAACAGACAAGAAAATTGAAGAAATTCCAGTCGTTTAAAAAATATAAAATGTCTTAGAACGGAAGTAATAAAATTTATTTGGATTATGAATGAGATATATTCGTGTGAATATATAAATATATATTAAATATAATAAAATATTATAATTAGTCAACAAAATAAAAAAATAAATATTTTTTTTTTTTGGTAAAAATTAAAATTATATTAAATTGTTGCAAACAATTACAAATATTTTAAACAGTGAACATTATTAATACAAAGTATTCTTTCCATTAAAAAAGTACATATTGCTGATAATTAATAATTCCATTATATATAAAGAAATGTTTTTATTTTAAAATGGTGAAAATATTTTTTTTTTAACAATTTAGGTTTCTTATGTAAGCAATAAATTAATGCTGTTCAAATAAATTTGGAGAATTAAAAATTATAGAATTTTAAATTTATTTAAATCTAATTACTCATACTATTTTCCTTTTTTTTAAGATTTTAAAATCGGAAAAATAACTTTAAACTAAACTAAAGAGTTTAGTTTTCTTGTTTTGGGGAATAAAATTTTATTTTCTCTTTGTAAATTAATGTTACATGTTTTTTGTTAAATTTAAACGCTTGCGTAAAAATTTTGATATCTATTGAATATTATCGCTTAATTATAGATGGTAGTATTTTTCTTGAAAAATAAATTTTAATATATTATGTACATGTGAATGTATTATGTATACTTTAAAAGTTTATTTTTTTTAAGCATATTACTTCCCTATGAATAATTATTTTGAATATGAAGAGATATAAATGGGTAACCCACAAAAAGTATTAAGTTTCAATATACAATTCCAATATACACCAATAAATGTACATATGTATACTATAATTACAGTGTGTTTAATGTACAATGTACACTGTAATTACAGTGTTTATGTTTGTAGGTATATAATTTCCTTATCTTGAGTTTTGTGGTTGATACCTACTAAAATGCTTTCAAAATTTTGACAATTTGAAATTTGGTTTTGCTAATTTTTTTAAATTTGTTACAATATAAACATACACACAAATATACCAAGTTACTTAAATTAGATATCTGTATTTGGTTTGAACCCGAAACCAATCACTTTCTTGGAAATACCCGTAGATTTTCACCAACATACAATTTACCTTTTCACGTACATACTTACCTAATCTGCAGATATTTACATTCATGAATATTTATCACATGATTTTGACACAAAAATTAGTTAAAAGAAACCGGTAACGTGCTTACTGCAGTTCATACATGTAGCTGAGCTTAACACAAGAAAGTTTTGCGAATTACAATCTTTGTTCCAATTAGCGAAAAACAAAATGGCTTTAAATCCTCGTGAATCAGCTGAATATATTGTTAAAAATGTAAAACATGTTAAAATTCATTACAATAACATTGAAAAACTTGCACAAACTGTTTATAAAAAAATTAAAGAAAAAATTATCAGCGTCGACAATTTCAGTCAACATGAATTGCATCCATCTGATAAAGATATTCATGCTATCGATTGGATTTTTCTAATTGACACATTAAATTTTTGTTTTTGGACACCAGGTAAGTGGTAATACACAGATATATAAGCTATAGCATGTCACAAATAAATCCATATGAATTTAACATAATGATATATGTACATATGTCTGTATTCCATTACCTAATTAATAAAACAGTAATGCATTCAGTATGTCTGCATATTTTACACATGTATACAATATATAAAACAAACAATATATATATACATACATGACTCATTTACTGACTGACATACATACATATATGTACATAAAGTATAAATTTATTTGGCTATAAATGGTGATCCATTACAAGATTCGATTCTTTTGGTGATCCGTTACGAGAGCAATAATTGACAAAGTACCAAAAATTTTTACATGAATACACCACATATGTATGTATGATGTATGTATGTACTATTTATGTACCTACTTATGTACTTTTGTACATATAAAAACTTTTTTGCTTTTGTTACTGTTTCTTTTTTTTAGGGAATGATACAAAATGGAAAGTCAACGGGCAAACTGGCTATTTTGCTTTATGCGCCGCTATTAATCGTGCCATTAAAGAGGGTGTTGATATTACTAATCCAAAATTTTATTCGAAAATTAGTGAAGAAGAATTGGATAAGATTTTACGATCTGACGATGGAATTATAAAAGTTCCACTTTTAGAGGCTCGTGTAAATTGCTTACGGGAAGTTGGTCTTAAACTTATTGAGAAATACGATGGTAAATTTGAAAATTGCATAAAATTGTGCAATAATTCAGCACAAAAATTATTAAAACTAATTGTTGATGAATTTCCATGCTTTCGTGATGAGGCAATTTACTGTGGAAAGCAAGTATCATTTTATAAAAGAGCTCAAATTTTAATAGGCGACATATGGTCATGTTTTCGAGGGAAAAATTATGGAGAATTTAATGATATTGAAACTATTACAATGTTTGCTGATTATCGTGTTCCTCAAGTTTTAGTGCATTTCGGTACATTAGAATATACTGAGGAATTATTAAATTTTTTAAAAACTGATAAACTATTAAATGCTGGCGATGAAAGAGAACAAGAAATTCGTGGAGCATCAATATATATTGTTGAAGAGCTAAAGAAAAATGTTTGGAAATTATTTGAGGAAAATGGAGAAAATATTGAAAAAAATATTGTTAATTCAATTTTACTAGACCACTTTCTATGGGATTATAGAAGAAAAAATGCTAAAGAACTAGAGTTCATACCATTTCATAAAGTTTTGGGCATTTACTATTAAGAAAATAAAATAAAATGGTTATTTAAAGTAATGTACTTTTGTCTTTTCTTTTTATGATTACATAATTATGTGCATGTGTATATATATACTAGCACGTTTCATTATTATTAAAAATAGGGTTTTGTAAAGAAAGTATGTATGTAGCTTATTTGAATACTGATCAAGTTAATCACTTCAGACTGATTGTTAGAGTACTCACTGGACATTGTCTCTACATGACTCATTTGAAAAGAATACGCAAGTTGAAGAGCGAACTGTGAAGCCGGTGTTTGGAAAAGGATGAGACGGCAAAACATCTGCTGTGAGGCTATGGCCTGCTAAAGGCTAAAGGGGCCTAGAAATAATGTTCATGTAGATGGATCGCGAATAGCAAAGGACCCCATGGATCAAGGTTATAAGGGTCGTTAGGCCCCAGTGTCTCGAAAACAATATCTGAATAATAATGAAAAGCACTGTGCTTACATCTTATATTTGAATAGCTTTGTTGTTTTGAAATTTACAAGGACTAAGAAGAAAAAAATACATATATTCTACAAAACGAGAAAAAAATTCTACCACTTAATTTGGAATGTTCATAGTTTTTTTTTTTTTTGTTTTTTTTCACTCATATAATTATTTACAAGGAAATTTGTTTTAATTTTTTTAATAGGTAATTATTATTATTACATCATAATAACGATTTTTTTTTTCTTTTTTTTTAATATATATTTTACTGTTTTACATTTCATTTTATTCTAATTATTGTTCTACCTCAATCTTTTGAGGCATATTCATCTTTTTTTTATCATTTTAAAATACTTTTATGAACATCTTTTTCTTTAACTAGTTAAAACAAAAATTATATTTATTATATTATATGTGTATATGTATACAATTTCTCTAAAATCATAATTTTTACAATTAATCGCATTATTAATTCTTATCAAATGAAAAATGATTTAAATCATAGAACAAAAAGTACTTTTTTTTTTAAATTTTTAATAAAACAAAAAAAAAATTTTGATTTGTGCATTTCGAATAGAAAAAAAAAAAGAGAATTATACAGAAGAAAAAATCAAATTTAAAAACTATGAATGAAATTATAATTTACACGAAATTTTTGTGTCTAAAATATTGAAATCGTCTTGTATACTGAAATCCCTTTAGCTTGAAACTACATCATTAAAATTAGAAAATTTTTTCAAATACATATACAATTTTTTATCTTCTTGTTAAATTTGGAATATTAATCACATATTTAATATCAAATATCTTTTCTAGATTCAAGATCCAAAAATTCAATCTAAATTGTAATTGGAAATGTTTATTGACTCAATTAAAAAATTGATAAAATTACAATTATTTGAAATTGCAATTTTTTATATATTCAAACGCTGTATAAAAAAAAAAAACTATCAATGTTTTTATATTTATTCCGAATTAAGAAATAGAATAAGATATTAAATGAAAGCGAATTCCACTATTAATTATTTTCCAAAATTAAAATTGGTAAATTGAACTGTTTGCGGATTTCTTTGTAAACGACATTAATTTCTAAAAAGAAATTAATGAGACTCCTCAAAACTTACTAAGATAGAAAAGAATTTTTTACTAAGATAGTTTTTTTATTAGAATATATAAAAAGTTCTCTATGATTTTAATTTTGGATAAATTATTCATTTCATTCAATTATTTTATTAAATAAAAAACTTGTAATCAATATGAAAATTAAAAACAAAAAATTAATTTAAAACTTTCTATTTGAAATTAAAATTTTTTGAAAATTTATTTATGATTTATTAATTTTATTTTTTTATTTTAAATTTAATTTAAATTTTAACTTTATACATAAAGATTTAACGATATATATATATATATTTTATATAACATTTAGCAAATTTTCTACATCATTTTTTTTCTTTTTTTTTTTTTGTTTTGTTTTAAGACTAACTTTTTAGATTTTATAAAACAAATAAAAATTTTTCGCTTATTATTTTGTTTTAATTTTATTATTAATAATAAAATTAATAATAATGTTCGATTAAAAGTTACAACAAAATCAAAATGATCATAAAAACCATATTGATCTTCAATAGCAAATATTTTTTTTTGGGTTTTTTTTTTAGAATAATTTTTTTTTACTACATAATTTGTTTTTAATCGCTTTGAGTAAGTGTTCAATTATAAATATTTTATGCAAGAATTAATAGAAATTTTATAATTTTTATATATACACAATTTCGAATTAATTAACACTTAAACATTTATGTATTTTTTATAGTACAAGAACTCTTTAATACCATACACAAAATATGTGCGTGGCCTTAAAAACATTATAAATTATACAAAGCCAGTATAGTTTTTCTTCCAAAAAAAAAAAATAACAAACAAAAAAAAATGTTTAATTAATAATTTACAATTTTCCTTTTTTCAACTGCAATTCAATTATTTTTACAATTTTTTTTTAATTTTCAATGAGATAAGGATATTTTTGTGTAGTTGGAAAATTCAAAAGGGTAATTAAAGTAATTTAATACAAAAAAAAAAATTCTAAAATAAAAGTTCTTTGCGTAAAATTTATAATGAAAAAAGATTATTTTTTTATGTTATTATTTATAACAATTGTTGAATTTTTAAAATACTGTTGATGTTATTAGTAATAATTAACTTTTGATTAATACCTAAAAAGTTTCTTATGAAAAGGTTGTAACATTTTTTAATGTAAATTTTATAAATTTTAAAGTAATCATAAATCAAATTATATTCTATGCATATTTTTTTAAATAATATACATTTATATTAAATGAACAATAAATCTGGAAAAGAATTTAATATTTAAATCTACTTTTTATTTAAAACAAAAATAAGCAATAAAGAAAATATTTTAAAAGGTAATTTAAAAAAAAACCTTGCTGTTTTTACAATATTTTTATGTTAAATGAATTTTTTTTTTATTATTTTTACATGCAATATTATTACAGTCATATTAAAAGAATATATTATAGTTAAAGTAAAATTTTTAAATTTGATTTATGTATCTTATGTTTTATTGTATGTGTATGTATTGAAACTACATAATATTTTATATAATTTACTTTTAGGTTGATTACTTTTAAGATTTAGCTTTTTTTTTCTTAACAAAATAATAGTTCTTCTTTTTCCTTTTTTTAATTTTATGTGAAAATATTTATATATGTATATGAATTTTCTTTAGGCTTTTGAATCTACCATATCAATAACAAGCTTGTAATAAACATATGGATAATATTCTGATTGACCGAAACCTAAACCAGGTATATCAAGATCAGTATTATGAGCACTTGAACCGCCACCACCACCAGATGATGATCCATCTAAATGTCCATATAGATGATTAAGCTGATCACGTAATCTTTTTATACTTTTTTTATTTGGTTGAATCAATATCGCTTGGAAATTAACTGGTAAACCATATCTAAAAATATAATTAAATATTCACTAAAATATTAGATTTAATGAAAATATAAAATTGAAAAGTACAACAAGAGAAAAGTTTAATTTTGGATTTATATTTAAATAATATTGCATAATATAAAAAAAATCTAATAAAACACTATACCTTAAAACTGATTCAACAAATACTCGTAACGCTTTAACATGTATCCAAGCACAAAAACATTCACTAAAATTGACTTTTAACCATCTGACCAATGGGCCCTTAAAAAATATAAGATAAGGTTAATAGATGTTTACACAATTAACAAAAAATAGAATTATGGTGAAAATTTTGTAAAAAACTAGTTGAATATTTTTTTCTTTGGAGCATTAAATCATAAATTTGGTACTTACAAATTGTTTCTTCTTGTCAGTAACCAATTTTGTTATTTCATTTTTACCAGCAGCCAATTCTTCTTCATTGTATACAAAATCTCTAACAACAAATTTTCTTTCTCTTGCATGCAACTTGAATTCTTCGACAACTTTCTTAAATAAATGAACATTAAATAAACAATATTCTGCATCTTGTTTTATTAAAGTTGATGAACGTGGAACTATCATATCTGATATTTTTTCATAATTATTAATCCAATCATTTGCAAGCGGTCTATAATAACATTTTTAACAATAAATAATAAATTGAACATATTGTTCAATTAATATTGAACTATTTATAAAATACATACTTTGGTACAATAACCAATAACGTTGTTAAATATTCTGAATCCAATATAAAGTGCTCTTTCTTAACCAAATCGGCTAAATTTCTGGTCATTAAACTTCCACTAAAATTAAATTTTTTTTTTATACAAAATTAATTTCTTTTATTAACATTATTTATTTAAAAAATTTTAGCTTACGTTTGTTTCTTTTCCAAATTTTGTAGATTACCTTTAAGATTATTATATGCGGTGGATTTTGTTTTAAGATCAGCATCAATTTGACCAACTTGTTTTGATATTATATCAGCAATATTACGTAAAGATTGCTTTATTGGATATTTTGCCATATCCCATTGAAAACGTGTAATATACGACGGAAGATCAGCTATCATATTAGTTTTAAAAATGAAATAAAAACAAGAAAAAAAAATATAAAATTAAATTTAATATTTAAGTATGTATTATATGTATATATACATAAAATTGTAATAAAATAATTAAAGCTTTCACAATATTTTTACATTTATTGTAAAACATTTTGGAAACGTGCATGGATAAGTAATTCTAAATAAGAAAATAAAAATAAAAAAGTAGCAAAAAAATATAAGTACATTATTCTAAGTTTTTTATAATAAAAATTAAAATAGCAAAAACTTAATAAAATAAAATATATAAAGTACATATATGCATATGTACATAGAACGTATAATTATTCAAAGTTCATTACAAAAACGAAGAATATTAAATTTCATAAAATAATAAGCAGCTATATAAATATCTAAAATAAACCAAAATTAAAGGATGTTTCTAAAACTTGAATGAATTAGGAGTAAATATTTTGATTTATTTTGCGATTTCCAATCAATTTAATATTCAAAATATGTAAAATTTTCATGTAAAATAAAATAACATAAATATGAAAATGTTAACTAAAGATCAAAACAATATTTTTATGATTTCTATTATTACACGAAATCCAATTAGATATTTAAAATTTTATAGCTACAACAATACATTCAAAAAATATTATTTAGGCCACTATTAAGTCGAAAAACGCTAAATTTTCAAATACTAGGCAAATACGGGATTTATTTCTTTCAAAATTTGTTTATATTTATTCCCAATAATTCAAAGAATTCATATTTTTTTTTTATATATTATGTTTAAAATTGGTAAGACTATCTTATTTTTTTCTGTACTAAATTCATCATATTATATTTTCCTGCATCTGACATAATTTTATAAAATATTAATTTAATATATTATTAATTACAATATTTATTTTAATATCTTAAACCTATCATATATTTATTGAATGTTATACTCAATTTAGTATTTTTCATTAATGTCTCTAATATAATATAATCCATTAATTAATTTAAAAAAACAATATTTATTGCAAATAAAAAAAAATATTAAATTATATATAAGAGATTATATGCACACAAAATATGTCTAACTTATAATGTTGTTAAATTAATATTGATTATGTAATAGCGTTGTGTATATAGTTTGTACTGATATATAAAAAACAATTTTTGTAATTACACAACAAGCTACTTTTTAAGTGGCGCTACAGTATTAAGTTTTTTAATTTAAAACATTATCACTTAAATTACAAAAATAGTCTTCTGTATATCACTTCAAACTATTACGAGTATATACAATCATAATAGAATACAAAACTTTTAAATTGAAAAATTAATATTAAAATTGATTTTTTTTTTATCATTAATAATACTAATTTCGATTTTTGCAACTTTTCAATTTTAATTTATATTCCATATTTTTTTTAAATTACAATAATAATCATATATTTTATAATTATTATGTATTTTACAATTAAATTTTTATTTTGATAATTTCTTAAAATTATTTTAGAATTTCTATTTAATAAATAACACATAAACAACATTTTAAATCGTGCGAACATTAAATGTACATACATATTATATAATTTATGCACATTTTATACTTTCTGCGGTGATACTTTTATATATATGTAAAGATTATTTACAAATATTTATTAAAAATTTTGAATCAGACAAAAAAATAAACATAGAAAAGTTAACATACAAAATCAGTAATTGTTTATATATCAATTGAATATTTATTTATTATATAATTATAAAATATTTGAAGAATAATCTAATTAATTAGATTTTTAATAAATATATAATAATTTGTCACTTAATAATTAGTTATAATAATTACACCGAATTGATTTTACTCATTTATTAAATTTTATTTCCAAAAAAATTAACAAAAATTTATTATTTTAAATTTTAATATTAATTTTAGATTGTACCAATCAACATACTTTTACAAAGTCATCGTACTATGTTGTTACGCCTGTTTATAAAATTTCTACATTGTTTAAAATAGAAAGCTGTCACTTTATATTTATTTAATGATTGTTCTTATTAGAAATGGTTCAGTTTTTGTTATTATTTAAAATAATTTAAAAAGTTTAGTTCTACATTTTTATTTATTCAAAATATATAAACAATTATTGAAAGATTACATTGGATTTTTTATGTCTTAAAATAATATACGATACAGATTTAAGAAACAAGATTTAAAAAATAAAACAAAAGTAATTAATAGTTATAATTAAAAAGCATAAAATAAAAAAAAATTAAATCCATAGTGAGAACATATTAGGAAAAATAATAAATATTTTTTTTTGTAATAAATTTAAACAACTTGAAAATTGTAATTTCGAGAATTTATCAAAATATTTGTATTTGTAAAACATTGAAAAATGTGAATTAAAAAAAAAGTAAACACTCAAACCTTTAAGTCTACACTAAATAATATTATTTAAATAAAAGAAAAAATTAGTAAAATTGAAATTTTTTGTTTTAAAAATATAATCATGAACATAAAATGATTTTAAAATTTAGAAATTCTGATAATTTTTAATTATATTCCACAAAAATTATACGATTTTGTTCATAATGTATTTTAATTATTGCAAAAATTTTTTACAGTTTAATTAAACTGAATTAAATCGGTCGTTGTCTAAACTACTGAAAAGGAAATTTTTCTCTTTAAAATCAAATGACGTTAATTATAAAATGGTGGAAATTATTATAAAACTCTTTTAAATCCAAATTTTTATAAATTTTTAAAAATATATTTGCAATTTTTTGTAAAAAAAAAAAATTGAAAAGAATTTTGTAATTTTGACTATTTTAATATTTTAATTTTATTTTTTTTTTTTTTAAGTAATAACAAAAGTTTTTTATAATATGCTGTCAAAAAAGAGTAAAAGCCTATAACGTTAGGTATTAATAGAAAGGGCGTAAATATTAACAAGCTTTAACGGCTTAATTAGACTTACTGAAGTTTCAGAATGATGTTGTTGCAATAAAAAAAAAAGCTTGGCTTTTTACTAAAATTGATTTGTATATAAATTTTTATTAAATTTTCATAAACTGAAGAAGGATAATAATTCTAATTGATAAACAATACAAAAAGAAAAATAAAAATAAAACAAAAGATATAAAAAAAAAATAAATATATTGAAATACATAAGTGAAATTTAAAATCAAAAAGTTACACGTTACACTTTTTATCCCACTGATGATATATATATTTATTTATTTATTTATTTATACGGTTCATTTTTACTTATATTTAAACCACAGGTTCTAACCTGGGCTCAATGGCATTGGTGGCGGTTCACCTGAATCATCAATTTCAATATCAGGACTTGAACGACCTTGACTACTTCCACAACAACTACTCACTGGTGATGTTCTATGATTTATTCCGCTTGTCATATTTATTTGACTTGATGAACGACTTCTATATATATATGTATATATGTATATATTATTTATAAATTATTTTTTATGATTTGTATATATACTTATATATACATATATGTTGTGCAATTTATTATTTTATATAAATAAGTAATTTTTATATACTAATTTATATTTTATATAATTTAGTATATAAATAATGTATACATATTTGTATATAAGATATAAGAGTGTTATTTCAGTTATATGTATATAGTACAATTAAATATTCTACATAACTGAAGAAATACATGTCATATATAGGATCATAAGAATTATATCATTTTATTATTGTACATATATACATATATGTTTATATGTATAATTATAAAGTAACATGTTTGTATTGTTTTCTTTTATTTTTACCTGCTCTTATTAGAGCCTCTTTTATGGCGAGAAAACCACCAATCAAACATATCAGTGCTAGAAATTTCTGTATCATCCTCAATATTGTTATGATTTTTACTACTATAAACACTATTATTATCACAGTTACATAGACCATTATAATCATTTTCTTCAGATTCATTTGTTGAATTATTAAGACTTCTACGACGACATGCTGGGCATATTGTTACTGATGTTGTTGTCGTTGTAATAGTTGTTGTAATTGTTGTTTGTGTATCAATACGATTTTTTAATAAATTTGATGTTTTATTCTTATTTTTATTTTTACTTTCATCATTATTATTATTGTTATTATTATTAGTATTATTATTATTATTATTACGATTTTTTACTTTTTCATTAGATTTTAATAATTGAGTATTTTGTGCATTTTCATCAGGGGGAGCCGATGGTGGATCAGGACCTTTGTTTATATATTCATATCATAATATACATATTTATTAATAATTTTAAATTTAAATTTAATATTTTATTTTAATAATATTTTTTATTACAATATATGTATGTATTTATTAAATACATACATTATACTGTTATACATTTTAGTATACTAATCAAAAATATGTTTTTAAATTGCGGGACAGAAAAATTTTTCAAATTAATCTAATCCAAATGTATCCTTTATGTTGACTCCAGATAAGGACTACATTATAATAGAATTTAAATTTTTAAAAATATTTTATTGAATAATATCCGAAAAATTAACGATGCTGAGATAGCACATAAGAATGTTATGCATTTAATGTAAAATTTAGTATTGAAAATCTTAAATTAAATAAAATATAAAAATAACATTTGAGAAAATTAAAAATACCAAAAAATAAATAATAAATAAATTAAAAAATAAATAATAATTACGAGTGACAAACAGGAAATGATGAAGCGAAATTAAAATAAAAAGCTTAAATAACATTATTGCATAATTTTGTTAAACACTTTTATACAACATGTTTACAAAAAACATAATAAAAAATTTATTTATATAATTAATTTTATTTTTGGATTTAAAAATATTTATTATTTATTTTTGGATTTAAAAATAAATATTCAGATTCTATGCTACCATAAAAACTTAATCCCAAATCATAATTTGAAGGTATTTTACCATAAATTATAGCTCATAAAAGTTCATGAATTAAAGTTAATTAAAATTCAAAATTTTCCAAATCTTTCATATCATTTCACTACATTTCCAAATGAAATGTAATGAATTGAGAGATTATAATTAATTAATCAAAGTTGCAATTTCAAATTTTTAAAAATCAGAATGTGTTGCTTCATTTTTATCTATAACAAAATGTTATACTCTTTTGTATTATTTCTTTCCGCAGAGATAACAAGGAAGACAAATTTTTCCTACTGACAAAATGACTAAATGGATAGACTTGAAGAATTCGTCTAACTATATTGAACTTTTGACAATACGAAACTGCCACATTTGTCGAATTTGCCATATATAGTAAGCCCAGAAATACGTGTATATTTACATTAATCAATAAATTATACGTACATTGTAATATAATTTTGCTTATAAATTCCTCTCAAATGTATACAATTAATTGTAAAATTTAAAATACATGCACCGTTTACTTACACGTTTTTTATAAATCTTAAGATTTTTATTAAAAATTTTTATTTCTTGGTACTAAACTTAAATTTTAATTGAATTTAACATACGTTCTACTTTTAACCAATTCATCTTTAAAATTATACTTGGGTATAGGAATTGATAACAAAATTGAGTATGGAAATTGATAAACCAAACTGCAATTTTACAACAGCATACTATTGAAATAATAATATGTAACTTTAATTTACATATTAATATTTTCTAATTATTGAAAAAATTTGAATCTAGAATTAATATAATTCTTCATTTTTCTAATTCTTATTTTAATATTTGTACTTATATGTGAATAATTATTGAAAAAAAGACATAATAAATCTATATGAATGTTGTTTAAATATTATATATTATGAATAATTTGTATTAATTTGAATTGTATTCAAATTAAAATTAATTACAAAAAAAAATAATTTTAACAAATATGTATTTAATACGTTTGCCACATATATACAAATTTGCTATACATATATAATTTGTAAATGCAAAAATAAAATATCTATGATTTTTATGATGCAAAATAAAATAAAACAAAAAAAAAGTATAATATTATATAAGATATCCTCTAGATAATATTGTGATTTTAAAATTTAATATTTCACGTTTAGATTTAAAAACTAATTTGTTCTCAATTGTTAGAAAAATAAAAGAAAAATCAACTTTAACCAAAAAATTTCAATATTTCAGAAAAAAAATTAAATTATACTTTTATAAAATTTATAATTTACGAATACTGAATGAATATTATAGAAATATTTAAAGGAATATTTTAAAAAGAATATAACACTATAATAAAAACAAAAATGAATGCATACTTATAAAAATAATTTAAATTTAAAAACAAACCATGTTAGAAACAAAGGGAAAAAAAAATTTAAAAAAGATTATGAACAATGAACAAAAAAAATATTTTTATAAAGTTTTGAATATTTGTAAATCAACACAATAAGTTCTTTAAAGTAGATAAAACTATGAGCCCTTTAAAACTTTTATAAATTGAAAAAGTGATATACATGCATATTATGTTAGTCACATTGCTTCACATGATGGGTTTGTTATTTAAAACTTTTGAAATTTTCTGAATAAAATCAATTCAAAAATTGGAATTTTATAATGAAAACCAAAATATTTTTCAATAATATCCCCATTTTCTTATATGTGACTAACAGAATATGGGTAATAATTTTTATAATAAATACTTCTTAAAAAGATATTTTATAAAATTTTTTACATTCAATTCGAAATGTGCATTTTGAACAAAAACATTTTATTTTGAATTATTTGTTTAAATAAAAAAAAAAACCTTACTAGTACAACAGCATTCTTTCTAAATTTAAAATCAAATTAAATACAAACAATAATTAATTATTTTAAAATTTAATTAAAGAGCAATAGAAATTTTCTTTTCCAATTATTTCGAATATTTTTCAGTGCATATGTATATCTAGTTTAAATTTACAAACAATAATTTGTAAAAAAAGAAATTACAAGAGTAAGAATAAGTTTTAAAAATTAATGGACTAAAATTTAGAAGATTTTAAATTAAAATATTTATTTTTGAAAAAAAAAAAACGTTACGGGCTTTATAAAATCTTATTTGAAATATATTACTATTTTATTTAAAAATAAAAATTAGATAATTTTTAAATATTTCAAGATAACGAAACAAATTATCAATAAGAAAATACAAAATAATAGAAAATATGTGTAAAAACAATTATTAAATTTCTTAAAAAGTGAATAAAACATACTTAATTGTATAGAAGAAATAGTAATTTTCATATCATTCTAATATTTTTCAGTCTCTAAAGTTGATATCATACTGTAGTTAAAAATAATTCTTACACCAATTTAATTTTTTATAAAAATGAAATTTCAAAAAAAAAAAAAACAAACAACATACAAAAATATACAACAAATAATTAAATTGGTAAAAAATTTAACAAAAATTTTTAATTTCTTAGTATTTATTTTCTAATTCAAGAATTGCTTTTTTTCAATTCATATTTTATTTGAGCCTTTTGCTTTTACTAAATTTAATTTTACAATATAAATTTTTAATATTTCATAAGATAACCAATTTTAAACTGAAAGATTATTGTAAGAAAACCAATATTAATAATATGATTACCAAAAATAAATATTGCTTTTCAATCGAAATTGAAAATTAATAATGAATTGTAATTGAACTAATTTTGATATAATAGTGATTTTTAAAAATTACCAAAATACAATAAATTTACAATTTAAAATATGAATTAATAATACTTTTAAATTTTTAAATTTATTTTATAATATAAATACTTTTGTTAAAATTATGAAAATAAAATTTTTGTAATACAAATTAAATATCAACTTCCAAGTTCTGAAATTTCATCGAATTCAAAACAAAACATATTCAAAAGAAATAGACATTTTATTGAAATTTTAAAAAGCTAAGTCATATTTAATGACTTGGATGAGAATTTGCACGTTAAAAATTAAATTAAAAAATAATACAAAATAAAAAAGAAAAATATACAAAATTATTAAAAATTAATTTAATAAAAGTAATTAAATAAAAATAATTAAAAAAAAATATATAATATAATTGAATACTTAAAATAAAAAGAAAAAAATTAAATAATATTAAATGTTGAATATTAACAAAATTTAGTATTAAATAATATAATTAAATTTTCTTTTAATCTTCAAAACTATTCATATCTGAAATTAAAACCTTACTTGAAAAGAGTTCTTTAATTAGTTTTTAAATCTATAAAGAATCATGTTTACGATTATTTTAAATTATTAATATTATATCTGATTAATATTATATTGTATTAATATTTTTTAAATTTTTTTGCAATTTATTTAAACACTAATCTACATTAAAATATAATATAATCAGATAAAATTTATATAGTTTTTTTTTTATTTCAATCAAAAACTTAAAAAAATATTCAATTTTTTTTTTTCAATTATCACCTTTAAATCACATTCTTATGATAATAATAAAAATAAAATAAATAATATTAAATCATTTATTATATTATAATAATTAGAATAAATATAGCCAATAGAAAAATAAAATTAACTATGCAAAAAAATTAAAGAAATATTTAATTATTTTTTGATTGTTATACTACATTATTAATTAAACATATCAAGAAGAAAAAATAAAATCCAATCCAAATTTTATAAGATAAATAATTGTTAATGTATAAAATTCCTTTTTAAAAATAATTTTAAAAATTAAGTTTTTTTTTTGTTGTTTATAAATTTTAACAGAAAAAAAAAATTTAGGTAATACATTCTAATTGTAAAAAGGGAAATTATAAAACAAAATTACATTTTATTACTTACTGTTATTAGCAAGCAAATTTTCATGCAATTTATCACGTTGATCTTCAAGAACTTCACCCAAGTATGATGCTACTTTTCTTGTAATTTGTTCAACATAAGTATCCAATTTACCAAGATCATCTGATAAGCCCACTAATTGATCCAAAGTACCGACCTTAAAAATTAAAATAAATTATAATTAGTTATTGTTATTTAATTATAAATTTATTAATTGAATTTTATTACAATTTTTTTTTTATAATTTTAGTACGAAAAAATTTCGATTTAAATTTTAAAAACATACCTTAAGATCTGGAATATGAAACTTATAATTAATACAAAGATTATTCTGTTTACTGGTCAAATTATTCATGGTTTCCCATGTTTGTTGGCAGGTTTTGTCTCCAGGTGCCGAAATTAACCAATACTCAGACATAATTGTTAACAATTTTCTGAAATTAAAATAAAAAAATTTGGAAACAAATTATATTTGTGTATATAAAAAAAATGAAATTATGAATAATATAAAGCTAAATAATTAAAAAATTGATTTTATTATATAAATATGAAAAATAAATTTTTTTGAAAGACAGAATCCTATAGAATTAATCTAAAAGTTAACGTTTTCTTTATTTTATACTTATTCATTCATATTGTTGGGTATAATATTAATGTTTTGTATACATACTTAATACATTATGAATAACCATGTTTACTTACAATACTACTAAATTGTAGAAATGACCTTGTTGTTCCTTAACTTCTAATTTTATATAAAATAAATACATTAGCCTATAGTATAAAAAAATTGAAGACAACATTCAAGGACATAATATTACGATTGCAATGAAAAAGTGCTAGGTACCTAGAGAACACTTAAGTTAAAATGAATTTTAAATCAATCAATTTTATTTGAGATTTTAGGGACTAAAATTTTTAGGAATTTAAAAAAATCTAAACTCGATTTATTTGTTTCTTCTTATATTAAAAATAATTTTTAAGTGTTTTTTATTCTGCTTGTAACATAGATGGTTATATCTAATAATTATACAATGAAAATATAAAAATTTTTAATTGTTTATTATAAAAAAAACTGTATACTTAATTATTTACGTCTCACATTGATAATTCAAAATCTAGATCATAAAAAAAATTACTATACTAAAAATATAGTTCATACACAAAATATAATATGTATAACATTTTTATACAAATATATGTATACAAATATAAGTGTAGTATATTATAAAATTAATAGAAAAAATTTTAATTTTTAATTTTAATATTACACATTATTTCTTAACGGTATTTCACCAATAACTAATTAACTAATAGATTTTAATTTAATTTATATTCGGTACTTTATTACCGAATAAAATTTAACATAATTTAAGTATGTATTTTATTAATATAACAAAATTGTATTTATACTTATTGATTTATTAAACTACTTTAAAGAAAAAATTTATGTTATAATTTATGTTATACTATATTTTGATTTATGCCATTCAATAAATATAATTTTCTTTTAATAAGAAGACTACTTTTAAAATTATTATTATGAAAATTTTAGTCCAAAAATCAACCTTCTAAAATCTATTAAAAAAGTCAACGTTCGTAAATTAATCAGATAATTAAGTAAATTATTTTCTCTTATAATTAAACACATAATCAAGATACTAGAATATTTAATCGAGAACAGCACAAAAAGTTTTTTCAACATTTTACATGCGTTACTACATAATATTTGTTATATAAATTTGTCATGTGCTCTTTTTTCTGTGAAAATTGGTGCTAAATTACAATAACATAGAGAAATCCTTATTCTTTATTTAAATAAATTTCTAATATTAAATAATATTTCAATATATAATCCAATTTTATTAAATTTTCATTTTATAATATTTCTTTAATAATTTAAATTTAAAACATTTATAAAGTCAAAAGTTAAAATATTGCTGGGGTGGTAGAACGAAAAAAAAATAATTCATTAGTAATATTAAATAATAAAAATTATATTCAGTTTAATTAAAAAAGATTCCTAAGCATAAAAAAAAAATAAATTTGTAATTATAATATATTATATGTATTTCAAGCACAATATAAATTAATTTACATATTACAACAATAAGTTGATCTTTTGTACAAAATAATTTTGTGAATATTAAATGATACTAAAGTAATTGTGGGACACAAAAATTTATTGAAAATATTATAATATACAAATATAGTTTCCTGTTTTAAATACTAAATAATATACCTGCTCGCTCTCAAATAAATTCCATTAAATTCAATTAAAATTTAAAATATAAAACTGCAAAAATAATTGCTAACTTTATATTAGAATTTTAATATCGTAGTAGTACGTATCAGTAATAATCAGTAAAAACAATTTAATTATAATAATATTCTATTCTAACTGTTATAACTTAGTAGGTACCTATGTGGAAGCTTTCATTTATTACAAAAAAAATATTTTACACTTTACATTATTTACTCTATTTTTAGAGAAGGTAATTCATTTATAATTTAATATAATTTAAAAATAAGTTTATATATATATACCTATATATGTAGGTATTTAGGTATCTACCTACGTATTTTAAAATTAATTTTCATAATGTTTTCTATATAGGTTTGTACTATATAAATTAGTTTAAATATTATAACTATGTGTTTATGTATAGAGACAGTGTTATTTTTAATAACACCAAAATATTTCTATTTAATGAGTTGGCAGAAGGATTCTTTTATTTTCGATATATCAGACAATATAATATTGCATTTTTACAATTACAGCAACTATTTTTATAATATTTTATTTTAATTTTACTTACATAATTAAAAATAAAATAATGTAAAAACTTAAATTAAATTTTCCTATTATGTATTTACAAAAATTTTATATAAAAAAGAAAATAGAATTTAACTCTATCATATTATATTTGCTACTAATATAAAAAATAATAATTTGTTTTTTTTTTCAATTTTCATTTACATTAGTAGAGTAGTAAAACAAAATACCTATATAGAAATAAAATCTAGTTATAATACGCTAAATATAAATTAAAGGTTTTTTATGAAAAGGACATTTTATTTTCAAGGACCACAGAATAAAGAAGTTGATTAGAGAACTAAAATGTATATAAATGAAAAAAAAAAATAAATAAATAAACTAAAAGAAATAATAATGAATTAGATATGACCATTTATTTAACTGAATTTTAATATTTAATGCGCAAGTTCTTATTTTATAAATTGTTTTTTTTTACTACCTTAAATTTGAACATTACTTAGTTCAAAATACTAATTACTAACAGATTAACGTGTTGTTTTAATAAATTTAATTGTAATTTTAAAAATATCTTTTGGATTTTTAGAAAAACTTAGAGTATATAATGTCATAAATAAATTATAAGCTAAAATATTATTTTATAAAATTAATTTTCCCATTAATTGTTTGGGTCAACGCAAGATGTATGTACATTTATTCCATGGGAAGGTAATAGATGTACGTTAGTTCCATGGATTTCTATCTCAATAAATTACTTTGATAAAAATTTTATTGAAAATATTTGCTCTTCTAAAAATTCTGTAATGATTTGATTTTCAATTAGATTTTATTTTGTATTTAACTAGCGATATCCTAGATTGGCATAAATGCCAATCGAAAAAAATATTACATTGGCAAAAAATTAATATTCAAACTAAAATGTATATATTATAGCTTTTTGGTATAAATGTATAGATATCTTGTGGCATAACAAATACCTAAACTTTTTAAAATATTCTGGTCTAGACATGGTCTTATTGATTATTCTGGTCCAAAATATGGTCTTATTGATGTGACAAAAATAAGCTCGTTGCAAAGATACCTATGTTTCTAAGTATTAGGATTTAGGACTAAAAAAGCACTCAAAAAAACAGATAGGTATGTTTTACACTTTAGTTAAGGCTACCACATTTGTGAGATTTTTGTTGCTACGTAGCGTACATAAATGTTGTTGTTTATGCTACGAAGAGTATTTGAAAAACCAAAAAATATTTCCTTTATATAAGTGAAAATCACTTTTTAATTACTGTATCTTTAAAGCACATTTCATTTGTAAATCAAGCCAAATTGAAAACAATTTTTTATTTTAAGGATTCATTAAAAATTGAATTGTATTACTAGGAGAACAAATATACCTGCTTATGATACGTGTGTAAGTATTTACTACGAGTGATAAGAAAAATATGTGATGTTGTTGTTAGACTCAGATTTAATGTATATGAAATTATTTTGCATAGCCATATCTTTTGCATAGAAAAAAAGTTTAATGGGAGTAATTTTCCAATTTTTTTTTTAATTTTAATAATTAAAGATTTTCAGCTTTGCTTTTACGTGTAGTTGTTGAGCACTCAAATTTTTTAATAACTTCTTGTTTTGGTCAGCTGTTCTATAGAAAATTTTTTTGACAGTCACATGACAAAACTATTTTAATATATACATATTTTTTAAATTTTTTCTTCCAAAAATTAATTTGTTTCTTTTTTTAACACTGTCTTTATATTTTTTTTCTCTCAAATTTAGATAATAATCTACCTGAAAGTACAGATTTCACCCTTAAATGATTTATCTTAAACTTCGAGCATTAAAACGATTTTAAATATTTGTATAAAATTTTTATAATGATTAAAAAAAACTTATGACGATTTTTTTTATAAATTAAACATTAATAATATATATTACTCACAATCATAAGCTATAGAATCTAAATTATATTAAAAGTTTCCTCAAATTTCTAGGAAATTTAAAAATAAAATTATACAATTAAGTATTGATTTTAGGCAAAAAAATTCACGTGACGGATGACAAAATACTAAATTTCTACTTGTTTGAAATTTCTCTAAATGTCAAAATTATAATTTTTAAAGTAGACTGACAGTTTTTAGATGTCATAACAGTCATTTTGCAAACCCTCAATCAAAATTGAACATAAAAAAAATATCTCGTTCGCACCCGAATTATTTTCTTAGTAAACCTATTTATTTAAGCAATTGGCTTTAGTGATAATGTTGTAAGACTTTATGCAGACAATATTTTAGCATTATTTAAAACATTTGATATTATTGTAGTTACGGTAACTGCAAGAGGAGAATCCAGTTAAAGTTGACACAACTATGAACGTATTATTAATTTTACAAAATTTTTTAAATATATGTGCAGAAATTTACGAAAATCTTTTTTTTTAATTATGATAATTTTTATTTTTAAATAACTATTTTTATTACATATTTGGAAGCTACAAAAAAAATTAAGCTTAAATGGTGTTAAATAGCTATGTTTTACACGTCGATTCTTGCACCATCAGATGACGGACGTTTAATTTTCCTGGCTCGCCTATAAACGCATAATTTATGTATTTGCTGGAGAAATGAAACGCATATCAATTGTGAATGAGCTGTCTTCTAAATAAAGCTAATGGGGACATACGCAATAAGGATGCAACTTTATTTTCTGTCATTAAATAACTTTTAAAATTTGAAATGTCCAAGTAGTATAAGAGTCTTCTGAAATCTGAAATAATTTTTCGAGCACGTAGAGTCTGAGCGTTCTTTAATTGTAGAATCGTACATTGTTTTAAGATCTGTTTCAGCTGTACGTTATCAAAAGCAAAAATGATCGGAATAAAAAAATACTACAGGTTATAAATTTATTTGAGAATTTCAAGGATTAACATGCGACGTTACGATTAACACGAAGCACGGAATTTGAGATCTGATCAATTAAAAAACAGTCAAATTTTGTTTTTTAGTGTAAAAGAAAATAAAGTTTTTTCTTTCTGTGACTGTTACTTCTTGACTGTCACGTAGCCAAACAAAAGCCATTTACGTAGCCAAACAAAATTACAAGATTAACCCAGCATTTACACGTACAAGTTACTTGCAAGAAAGTTGCAATACATACAAAAATTTTACTAACACATTAAAATATTTCTACTTGCTTGTTTACTTGCAGTTCAACTTGCAAGAAAATTATGCTGCCAGTAATTTGAGCAAGTAATTTGACATATTGAGAAATTCACAAAAAAAAATTTGTTGTTTTGATTTTTTTTTTTTTTAATTTAAAATTTTTGAATTTTGTTTTGAAAAAATTAAACTTAGCAAACTTATGGTTTCTAAAATTTATAAAGAATTATATATATTGCTAGTTGTTTTCTTCTCAAAGGCATTTTCAAGAATTAACTTGCTAAGCGCCTACGTCATAATAGCAAGTAATTTGACATTTCGAAAAACTAATTGACAATTAATATTATACAAACTTGCTTGCAAGTAACTTGTATGTGTAAATGCTGGGTAAGTTATGAGTTCAACGGGAGTAAATTGCGTTTTTTTTAAATGAAGTGGCAAAAGAAAAACCCGTTATAGTAAACAACTGAATTCGAATTTCGAACTAAATTTTTTTAATTAAAAATACCTAATACCAATAATTAGATAGTTAACCAATTTCCACAATGAAACAAAAATTAGTAAGGGCGAAAAAATCTAGTTATATATTTCTTTCAAAAATACATAAATTTTTCCTTATGCATAATCCGTAACGTTTCTAAAGACTAGGTTGAAATAAAATTTTTATCAACGTTAACTTAAAGTCTAAGGCACATTCGATTATTACTACATATATTGGAATGCTATTGTTACGCTGTTACATGTAAATACTATCATTAAATGTAAGAAAAAACTATATTAAAATGTTTGCAAACATAATTACGTTTTTAAAAACATAGAACAAAAAATAGAAAGTGGAATGTATAAGTCACAACACAATGTAATATCAAAGGAAATTTTAAAAACAATAATTTGTACAAAAATTTTCGGTGCGTTAAATATCTTAAGAGTATAAAGTTGTTAAAATAGTTCTAGTTATAGTCAATAAATTAATAATAATATATATTATAAAATATAGAATTCCAAAATACTTGTTGGAAAAGAGATTCTTCATTCTAAAAGCAAAAGTTAATATTATAGTCGGTATGCATATGTGCACACAAACATATATACAATATTGAAAAAAAAAATTTTCTAAACAATTTTTTTTTTGAATTTTGAATGCGGAGACTTCAAATCATAATATTTTTATGTTACTCATAATTTTGTATTTCTAACAGTGGTAAGTAATATGGAATTGTTAATCCTTCTTGTCTATCGTAAGACAAAGCGTGTCTTGGAGATGTTAATATTTGACGAATATTAAAAGCGATTTCTTCAAACTCAGGTCTTTCATTTGGTTCAACTTGCCAGCAATTTAAAAATAACTGATATAGATCATTAAATATAAATGATGGTTGTTCAGGTCTCAACCCATTTTTGATTTGGGTAAAAAGATCTCCGGATACTACATTTGCATATAGAGTCGCTCCAAGAGTACATATTTCCCATGCTACACAAGCAAATGACCAAACGTCGCCTTTTATAGAATAATGTTGAAATCTAATTACTTCAGGAGCCATCCAACGTATAATATCGATAGATTTTCCTGCATCATTGTTTTTTGTTGCTCCAAACAAGCTTACTTTGATTTTGTCATTTTCTGTTAAAAATATACTATATGAACTTAGCTTTTTATGAACCACTTTGTTAACTTCTAAATATTCCATGGCTGTTGCAATTTCATATATCCATCGAATTGCCAATTCCTCAGAGAAACCCGAAAAACGATGATTATCCATGTTATACGGTATCCGACTTTCAACTAATTTAGTTTTTAATGTCAAAGGTAAATTTTCAAAAATAATATAAAACCAATCTGGAGTAGCACTTATTCCATAAAAGTTTAAAAATTTATCATGTGGCATTAAATTGATAATTTGACTGAACTCTTTAAGGAAAATACTCTGTGTTTCAGTTTCCATGTCATCTACAATTGATGTTACAAATAATATTAATAAAATCTAAAATATAAAACACCTCTAAAATGTTACCGCATATCACATGTACTTGACAGTTGTACGTATCCACATCAGTGTAAAGCTTCCCAGTAACAAGCTCTCCAAATTTTCCCTTTCCAATAACGTTGTTAACATTTAGTCGCAATGCATTTCTGGGAAATTTTTGTGAACTATCCAAATGATCTATCATTCCATTAAGCTGCGTTTTGAAATTGCCCCTACTGTATTCATCTGATGTAAAAGCGCTATTTTCCTTAAAATATTAAAAAAATTTCATAAACTTTGTTTTTTGTTCATATATAAATTTTTAGATAAAAACCACTTCAAGTGTCGGAGTTTGGACTGTTAATTCGTGAGTATCGGATAATCTTTGTCTTCGATTTCGGGTGTTGTAATGCAGTATTCCATAAGCCAAAATACTAAAAATCACCAAAATTCCAAATATTATACAAGCAACGATTAGTGCGAATTGTGACGGTTGTTGGTCATCTGAAAATATTTATTCATAATTAATAAATATAAATTCAATAAAAAAAATTCCACATTACCTATCATATCATAAAAAATTATTCCTAAAGGATTGTGCTGTTCGTGAGTGGCTTGAGCATATTTAATTTTTGTAATTCCGTTATAAGAACTTACAATTCCTAAAATTATGTGAACATGAGCTTTTGGAGGCAACGGCGCATTATAAAATCTTCTATAAAAGAAACCGTCGCCAACATGGAAATCTTGAGACATATTCTAAAAAAGTTTTTCAAATTAATAAAAACTATTGAGCAAATTGCCCTTTTAAAAAAAAAAACATAATTTTTTACAATGAATTTGTTTTATGTTAAATTTAACAAAATTGATAGAATGCAGCTTTTATCTGTTTTTGCACTGTACATACATAATACAATCAACTGATTATTAAAACAAAGTTCATTGAAACATATTATGCTTTGTATACATATTATTCTTTACAGAAAATCTTAACTCCGCTGTAATGTAATAAGGTATTCCATCTAAACGAGATCTATTGTAGTTTCCTAACAATTCCTCGTTAAATTGTTGGTTAATAATATCATCAACAAATTGGACTACAATACGGTAAAATGAAATTGGGCCATTATTATTAATAGAAGGTAACCTTAAAAATATTAAATTAGATTTAAAACGCTATAATTGTAATATGTGCTTACAATTCAACTGTCAATGTTGTCTCTGTTCGATTAACAATTTTCGGTTCACGTGGAAGAGGATCTGGATCTGAACAAAATATTTCATTAATACATTTTCTAAATGTTCATGTTATTTTTTTACCTCCAATGTCAGTTTCTCCAATAACGAAATCGCTACCGCAATCTTCAGAAACACATAAGGCGTTTACAGATATGTTGTATTCTGTTCCTGGATGTAAGCTATTCAGTTCGAAATGATCTTCGTTTCGATCCACAGTCCATTCTAATTTGTTTAGAATTGCGTATGTCGCAAATGTTTTAATAACAACAGCTTTTATTATAAAACTAGTTACTTGCTCTTGTTGACTAGATTTTGTCCACCTGACTTCAATACTGTTTTCTGATTTATTAGTGATTCGCAAATCTTTTGGAAAACCTGCCACTAAAATTTTAATATACAAATATTTAAACCTAATATTGTTTATTCTTATTTTTAAAAAAAAATTTATGCTAATAAAAGACAAATAACTGCTCAAATTATATTTATAGTTTTCTCAAATTTTTTGTTTTATAATAAACTTACAGCCAGTTGTATAATAGCTTTGAGCCCCAACACCCCCACATATTTGATTTTTTCTTCTACTGCATCGTGTATTACATAGACTTCTATCTAACTCGGCAGCATCTAAATGATTACTACATGTACATTTATCTCCAGGGGATAAAACTGCATACCTTGAAAATAACAATATGTATGTTAAAAATAGCATTATTTGATTATGTGTGTATATAAAACAAAAGACATGGTCATATTACTTATTGATAATGTGTATTTAAGCATATTCATAATGGTTTATACACATATTAACGGTAAGACGGGTTACGTTATTTCCAACTCATATTAATGACAAAGTACTTTACAGTGCAAGAGTTATTTGACCGAATTACTCTAGATCTAAAATATACTCGATTATTATTACTTATAATGTATGCAAAAATCGTTTAATATAAAAGATAATTTTATAATTTTAAAACTTAATATACTTCAATAGCAATTAAATTTTTATTTTTTTCAACTATTTAGTTACAGAATTCAATAGGATTATACCTAGCTATAAGTTGGAATATTCAACATCTAAACGCGTATAACCGAAAACTTTAAAGCATAATTTGTCCATGTCTTTTATTTAATTAAACCCTTGCAAAAAAAACACTGCGCCGTTTTTATAAAATTTTAATTTTTAAAGCTTTATGTAGTAATCAACATTTATAATTTTTATTGTTTGTACGCATAATTACCGGAAAAATGTATGCTCACAAATTTCAATACATTGGTTTACACTTCCTGCAAACGCAGTTTGCTGTAATAATTGCATATTCTCCTCTAAGCATCCTATGTACGAATAATCATCTCCTAAGTCTAATGATGTTTCTGCATTTATTATTCTAATGATTTGCCAAAATAATAGTAATAATCTTTTTAATTTATTCTTACTACTGAACACAAAAAAACACCCAAACATTTTTTAGCTATGAGTAATATTTTATTTACACATAAAGAAAAGAATAAGGCACAAATTTCTTGATTTTTTATTTAGTTTGTGAAAAATCCTAATTCTAATATTTTATTTTAGTTTTGTATATTTTTGTTAAAATAACATCTTTTTTTACATCATTTAAAAAAAAAATTAAAATTCACAAACAAAAACATAACTCAAACAAATTTGGGCAACTACTAAACTTTTCTTTAATTTAAATGTCAAAAAGATTCACTTGTTGCATTTTGTTTTTTACAAGTTACAATACAAGTTGAATGATGGAAACTACACAGGGTTCTTTGCTCTCTCGTTCAAAAATTCTTCATCTCTTGGAGTTCACATTCACAATAATGATTTTGTATTTTTTTCTATCATTCACAATCTAACAACCAAAATTCTCTATAGATATGTACTTAATAGTAATTTTATGTGCATTATTATAATTGTGCATACATAGAAATAAAAAAAATGTACATACAAAATAAAAAATAAAGCACATCATCCTCAACTGTGATATAGGAACTTTTGGGAGCTTTATGTAGATTTTAGATTTCTATGGGAACCGAGCTTTATGTAACTTCTATCAAATCAAAAAATTGCCTATAGCCATAAATTTAACTTTCCTGTCTTTCCAGGAAACAAAAATCCAATTGTAATTCAGACAATCAATTTTGACAACTTGCAGTAATTTACTAATTTAATTTTACTTCAACTTTCGCTTATTCATTCAACTATTTCAAAATATATTGAAATATTTAAATAACATATTCATAGTTTATGGGCGTTTTCGTTAACAACAGATCCGGGTCTGTCAAAAAATATATCTGTTCGTTTTTTTAGTTCTGATCGCCTTAAAAGCTTAACATTCATATTGTCTCAGATTAGTCTAATTTCAAATTCAGGTGATTGAAAAACATTTTCTGATTTGACAGAATGATTTCATAGATCAGATTTTCTGATCTAATTCAACTTCTGAGATAATAAACGAAAATGCCTTATAAATAACCTAACTTCGCATCCAACAAATCTATGGAAAAATATGATAAAAATCTGATGTCCAATATTTCATCAAAATCCACTTTGGTTTGGTTGTAATATAGTTATAATATAATAATTTTTTATTTTGTTGGTTTTGTTAAATAAAAGCAAAAGTTAAGTTCGAAACTAAATTAGTTCAAATTCTTGTGTTATTTATTGTAAACAAACTAGGTTAACAACTAAACACAACTGTTAAAGCGCTCATTACTCGGTTAATTTACTAGTTACTTTGCTTAAAAAACTTCTAAAGCAGACTAGGTTACCATTATTTATTGGGATCGCATTAATTTATTGTAGAACATTTTGACGTAACAATATGTCAGTAATGCTTGAAATTAACTTCAATCCTTTATTCTTACTCTGAGTATGACAAATAACGAGTAAAACAACAGCTGATAAAAATACTAATATTTTTGTTATGTCAAGAGTATTAAACCAACTAAAAGATTTTTGATAAGGATTTTTACAGTGTTTGTGGAGCGCAAAGATTTTTTTTGAAATTCTCCAATTCTAAAATAATTTCAAAATGGACATAAATTGTCCAATATGTTCAGATAATTTTAATGTTGTTGCAGATGTAAGATCAACACTTTGTGGACACGTATTTCATTATGATTGTATCACATCATGGTTGGAAAGGTAAGTAAATTTAAAGTAAATATATGAAAGGTAAGAACAATAAGCATAAATATGTATAATAAATTTCAATATCTTATCTCTTTGTCTCAAATATTGATAATCAATCAATTAGATCATCTTCGTGTCCTCAATGCAGAAAACAAGTGGCAGTTTTTAACTTGCATAGAATTTTTTTAAATTTTGAAAATGAAAATGAATATCATCACAATCGGGAGTGTGATGCAGAAAACTTGAGAAAACATTTGGAAACTTTACAATTAGAAAATGATTCCTTAAGGAATGAAAATCGTACAATAACAGAGAATTTCGAAGAACTCCAAGTGATTAATATGTCTTTGGAAGAAATGAAGGAGAACGCACCTAATCTTGATGCTGAACAATTAAATAAACAGTTGCAGTATGCTTTAGGACAGAACCTAGTATTGGAAACTGACTTAATAGTATGCAAAAATGAATTAGCCGAAATGAAAATGAAAAATTTAACTCTTACTGAAGAAACTTTACCTAGTGCAAAAAAGCTGATCGATAGTTTACAAAAGCAATTAGAAAAATTGAGCGTGATGGGGTTAAGTAGTGAATCAGATGAGAGTGTGATTTCACGAGAAAATAGTATTGAAGGTGTGAATCGTGCAGACATCACTAATCTGCATGATGTAGGTTGTAGATCTGAAAAATCACAATTTAGGAAACGAATAAACAATTTAAAGAAGTCAACTTTCTTTAAACATAATCGTAATGCTACAAATTCCGACGTAGACCTTTTACATGGTCTTGATGCAGAGGACGAAGAGAAAGCTTTCGAAAATTTAATAAAGCACATAAGAATTCAAGAAGAAACATAAAAGTTAATTCTTCAAATTCGTTCAGTTTTAGATTTTCTGTTACAAATACGTTATCTTATTCTAAAAAATGTTTTATTGCATAAATACATAATATGTACATATTTTTATACAAATTAAGATTTTTATAATACTTTATAAAATTAAAGAAAGTTATTAATTAACAAATCAAATATTTAAATGTGTATTGGTGCATAAGTACTTTTAAATTGACGTAGGTAGTTAACTTAGTTGTTTATTTTTTAGGTTTTTTATAAATTTTACCACCATATCGTGATACAAATGCGACTACATCAAATTTTCTTTTACAGCCAGCATAATTCATGTAACGAATTTTACCAAATATAGGTCTTTCAGTCCAACCCTGATCGTGAATCCCTCCAATAGACCACATGCAACCTGCGAATTGAAAAAACGTTAAAAAGTCGTACACAAATTTTTAATAAGTGTAGGAACCCATGTAGCTAACATAAAATGAATTTACCTACATATCCGTTAGGATCTCTACCATCTAAACTATACTTATCATTTAGATATACTGCAATTTTTAAAGCTTTTTCCGGAGTATCTGTCCATTCAAGAATTTTTTTTGCCCAATACATTCTTAAAAACCCGTGCATTTTTCCTTCTTCAACTAATTGAATTTGTGCTGAGTTCCACAAATCATCATGAGTTTTTGATAATTCAAAATCACTTTTAGTATAAATGTATTCTCTCTTATCTTTCCTGTGATCATTTAGTGTTTTCAAGGCCCAGGATGTAAGACCTTGAAGATTATCATAATTTTCATTATAAAAGCAAAAATTATCAGATAATTCTCTTCGAATAATAGCTTCCTCACAAAAAGCTGCAACAGAATCAGGAAATTTTGATTTATATTTCTTAACAGTCAATATAGCTCGTTGAACAGATATTTGCCCTACATTTTTTTTAAAGTTAATTTTAGAAACTGAATTCCTTTTTAATTTATTTGATTTTTAATATACCGAAATGAAACCATGGTGAAAGATTTGATAATGCATTCTGTAGAGGGTCATTGCGCTTATCGTTATATATTTTCAGTCGATTTTCACAAAATGACTCCAAATTTATACATGCTGCTGTATAACCTGGTTGCGCCCATTCAACTTCTTCTACATCCATGTTAACTTCAAGAGATTCAATTGCACTTTTCCAATCAACAGACTTGTAACTAAATTTACTTTTAAAATTATGTTTTATCAATGGCGGAAATTCTGTTAAAAATGTATTTAATTTGTTATTTATCTTGTTCCGTATAGTTCTTGCAGCATACTCCTGTTTATCAGAAGCCTCCCATACAGGAACAATATTATGAGCATCTACTTGACATAATGGAATATTCGAGGGTAGATTCTTTTTTACATCGTCGACCCATTTTGTTGGTACTCTTAACGGACTAAAATCACATACAATTCCTCCAATATTAAATTTCTCTAAAAACTCTGGTATTTTTTCAGTTGCATATCCGATTAATAAATGAAATTGAATATTAAGATCTTTACAATCTTTTTCTACTTCTTTTAAACCATTCAACATAAATTTGTAGTGTCGTATAGTAGCATCTAAAAATTTTGGAACCAAACAGAAACAACAATATAAAGGAACTTCATTTTTGAGAGCTAGTTTTTGAGCAAACAAAAATGCCCAATTATCTTGAACACGTCCATCTCTAGACATCCAGTAAACAATTCCTTTGAATAAAATATAAATATGAATCAAAACATGATTTTAATGAAATATTTAGTCACAATAAAGGCATTTATAATCTACCAATCACCTTCACTCTCTTCGGGAACTTCTTTTGCATCTGATAATATCCGAATTCTTCTTTTATTAAAATTAAAATCCAAAATTGAATCTGCAGTATTTTCACGATTCTTTTCAAAATTTTCAACAAATAAGCCAACATTTGTGCTTCTGGAATCGGAAAGTTTTAATATTTTTGCTGAAGTACTTGGTATATCACTGGAATTTCGTTTCATATTGGAATTAAAGATCTGCAGAAAGTAAAATACAACTGATTATGCTAGAGGTTTATTTTCTTACATTATAAATAAAGTGTGCAACTTAAATTTAAAATTCATATTACATGACTGTAAGTAAATATGCCTGACAATTTTATATTTACGAATAAATACGAGTACTCGACTCATAAATACATGAATGTAAATTCAAAATAAAAAATTTATATTGCAATATCAGGCATGCTTACATGCATACATACTTCGTTTAATTTCTATTTCTCAAAAACAATTCAAAATTACATACAGAATATCTCTTTATAATTTTATTAAAATATTTTTGATGATACAATTTATTTTGGAAGCCTTGGTTAAAAATAGCTTTAAAATATCTTGATGTGTTTGCCAACATCAAAATTGCAACAATATTCTGTACGATTTAAAATCTCAATGCTGCCTGGGCAGTGTGCATTTCAATGCAAATAACTGAAATTCCAAGTTGGTATCAGGATTGGGTATCAAATTGGGTTAGCTCAGTTTGACCAAAATAACCGATTAACCCACTACTAGTCCCAACCGTATAACAAGACTTAAAAATACATACATATGTATATATACATATATATTTTTTCGAGTTAAATTGTCAATAATGGGTAAAATTATAATTGCATTGAGTTAACTTGACTTCAGTTAGAACTTTTGACCAAAAGTTAAAAAATACTTTTAATTTAATTGAAAAGAAGGCCATCAAATTTAATTTGATCAAAGATTATGAGCCTGATCGTGTATCTAGCTATTTTATTCGCCAAGAGAAAAGAAAGTGAGGAACAATTATATATTCTTTTATGTGAAAATAAATTCTTCAAATTTTTATTAATTTTTGTATGTGAAAATAAATTTTTTTGATATTTTGATTCATAATATTATGTTATGTGTTCATCGATATTCGATATTAATCACGCTCAGATTTATTATGACGTTTTAATTTCATACGCCTGTAAAACTTCAAAAAATAGAGGCTTCATGTGACAGTGTTAGTTATTGGTATCGATTGCTGTTTTGTTTTGATTACATATTTATTGTGCCGGCAATGGTATAACATTAACAAAATTCTGAATTAAATATATTGGATTATAGAAGCCAGATCTAAACCAGAATCAATAAATACTGTATTTAAAACATATAATGGATTTTGATTTACTCTGGGAAAAAACTTGTAATCTATTTCCTGTTTTAAAGAAAAAGGTTCGCTATATTACTATAATATGAAACTTTTTTTACTACAGCACACTAATGCTTTATTTTTTCAAGATTGAAGTTCTTGAGCTACTGAATCCAGATGAAATAGAATTCGTCGCTTATGAGTTGCAGAACCTTAATATTAGTGGTATTATTTATAAAACCGTATTTTTAGAAATTAATGAAATATTGCGCCGTGATATTGTACTAAAGTTTTGGTCGCACTTTCATAAGAAAAAGGATTCTGAATATGTGTTCTTTCAGTTTCAATTAGCAGTATCTGAATTACACAAATTTCACCAAGATATCCAAGAAATTTTAAGGAGATTGGCAATTTTAAGAGACCTTACAAAATTTGAAAATTTTAATATTGAGGAGGATGAATTTGAAAAATTCAACAATGTTTTTAAAAGTTCCCTTTTGTCACAGTTACCAGCACATTATAATGATATTGTGTATACATTTTATAGCATTTCATTTAAAGTTTTTGTCAATAGTCATCAGTTAGCAGAAACAATGGATGAAGATGAAATGGATGGTATAGATGAAATTAAATGCAATGGGTGCGAAATGGAAACTGAAAATTGTAGGTGTCAAAGATTGATATGTGCGTTCAATAAAACTAACGAATATTTAACAAATATGAATTTACTCGACCGATTATCTGGCTATACACTTACCTCCTTAATCCAGGAAAGAATTGCAGCATATGTGAGAGATACATGTCAGGGTATTTTTGATAAATCTCATTTGGATAATTTAAAAAAAGTAGGTATTTATCTATTATGTATGTCTTTATGTGTAAATATTTTTTTATTTATTATTTTACTTGAAGTGGCTAGAATCTATTGTATTTAATTGGCTGACACGGATTTATAATCGGGGAAGTCTACTTGTTGAAAAAGAAAGCAAAATATCAATTATAATACAAGATTTTAATATAAAGTTTTCATATTACTTATGGGAAACATATGGAAAAATCATAATCGAACAATTTTTTAGCATTATAATCGGTAGATATTAAAATGTCGATAAAATAGTTTTAAACGATTTACATATTCTTTTATTTAAAGATTATCCGGACTCTCAACCTGCAATTGATGATTTGAAAGTTTGTTTGGAAAAAATCGATCTGCGTCAGCATTTAATAACAACGCTTAAACAATCACTTGAAGTTCGCTTATTGCATCCTGGAGTGAATACGATGGATATTTTAACAGGATATGTAGCTGCTATTAAAGCCATTAGGCATTTAGATAGCAGTGGAGTACTTTTGGAAACTGTCACAGAGCCTGTAAAGGAATATTTGAGAAGGCGCAATGATACAGTACGTCGTGTTGTTACAGGATTAACAGAGGAAGGCCCAACAGATCTAGCAGAAGAATTAGCTAAAAGCGAAACCTTAAAGGAAAATGTTGATGTTAACGGAAAAGACGAAATGGTAAATTGGGAAATGTGGCAGCCAGATCCAGTCGATGCAAACCCATGTATAATAAGAAAATTATTTTTAAAGTACTTTTAATATAAAATTTTGAATTGCAGCATTGAAAGCTAATCGAAAGAATAGATCTGCTGATATTATTTCAATGGTAGTTGATATTTATGGTAGTAAAGAGTTATTCGTTAGTGAATATAGAAGTTTACTTGCGGATAGATTACTAACACAGTTGGATTTTAATCCTGAAAAAGAAATAAGAAATTTGGAATTATTAAAATTGCGATTTGGTGAATCCCTCTTACATAATTGCGAAGTTATGCTAAAAGATATTAGTGATTCTAAACGGATAAATACCCATATATTGAGCGACATAAATTATAGTAGTAGTAAGTATTTCAATTAACACATTTTAATACATTTTTTTATGAATCCATTTGCTCCAGACAAATCATTTGAAATTTCATCACTCATACTTTCCGCGCAATATTGGCCCACATTTAATAAAGAAACGCTTGAGTTACCAGATGAAATACAAGAAGAATTCAAAAAGTACACAAAATCTTATGAAGCATATAAAGGAAATAGAACCCTTAACTGGAGGCATGTGACGGGGAAAGTAAACATTGAAATAGAGTTAGCTAATAAAAAACTCGATATGACGGTGACACCAACTCAAGCCATTATCATCTATCATTTCCAAAATAAGAGTATACGCACATAAATATATGTACGTATTTTTTTTAACAATTTAATTTTTTTAGATGAGTGGAACTTAGAAGATTTAAGTCAAATTATGAAAGTACCGCAGTCAATACTTCGTAAGCGAATAATATTTTGGCAAACGCAAGGTCTAATTAAGGAAACCAAAGCTGATGTCTATACATTAATTGATGAAAGTGAAGAAACTACCATCGACGATATTTCAAATCAAGAAATGTTGGAGGAAGATGAAACTGAAAGCGCAATGGCATCCGCGAGTGATCAACGAGAAGAAGAATTGCAAGTGTTTTGGTCGTATATTGTTGGAATGTTAACAAATCTAGATTCTTTACCTATCGAAAGAATTCATCAAATGCTAAAAATGTTTGCTTCCCATGGACCTGGGATAGAATTTTCTCAGGAAGAATTGAAAAACTTTTTGCAACGGAAAGTGAGAGAACATAAATTAATATTCGCTGGTGGGGTGTACCAATTAGCAAAATAATTTTTGTAAACATGAATGAAGTATATATGTATATACTATACATTAAACAACCAATTCTTACAAATTTGTATATTTTCTTTAGTGAACCAAAAATTAACATTTAATCATCATCTGGTATAATAACTGTATCAGGCTCTTGTTCATTGTCGCGCTTTTCTGCCGCTTCAGTAATGTCTTCCTTTTTAGCTGCAGCTGCTGAAGCTTTACTATCTTTTTTGTCTTTCATATTTTTTCTGTAACTCTCGAGCTCTTCATTTAAAGGTCCAACAAAACTTTCGAATTCTAGTTGATCTAAAGCATCTAAAATATTTTTTGCTGTGATAGTTTTTAATTTAGCTTTGCGCGCCAATGTTGTGGATGAAGCTGTTAAATAAATTACAAATACAGATGCAGCTCTTGCTATCGCTGCTCTCGCTTCTTTGCTAACAAATGAATTCTTTGAAAAAAAAAAAGCTTTTAATTGAAATAGTTTCATGCGTATTAATATAAACAACTTTACCGGTGGTAATGCATCCTTAATTAGTCTAGTAACCACAGCTGTAGGAAGATTTAAGTCTTCAATCCTTTCCACCATTATATACCGTAAATGTATCAAAAAAATTGTTCTTTTCAAAAAAATATAGGTTAAAATATAATTTGAAAAAAAAAGAAATTTTCTTAACTTTTAAGTTTGGTCAGACAAAAATGAAACTTTGTTATGATTGATTACTCTGTTTTATGGTGAGCGTGTATATGTACGCGATAAATATCAAGTATATAATTTGGGGAAAATATCGATACTATAGCGATCGTCTTTTCGATTTATCTCGAATTATTTATTATCTTATTTTCGATTATTTTTTTTTGGACTTGGAAAGGCATACCAAGTGTCATAAGATGTCAGAATTTTAAAAACCCAAAGCACTGGAAGAATTTGAGGAAGAATTTGCAATTTGGGATTAAGTTGGTAAGGCAGGAGTTTGAATTCAAGTTTAAGGATAGCAGCACAAATGTAGCAATCCAAAATCTAAACACGATAAAAACAATGTTCAGATAAAATATCTCACTGAATATTGAAATGAATAGGCTTTCAGTTGTCTAAAATCAAAATTTCTTTTTCTCTTATGTCAAGTTAATCAAATGAGTCTAATTTTTAATCAAATAAATCTGATGACAAAAATAAAAAACTTATTATAACCAGATTGTTTAAGAAATTTTAAAATTAAAAAAATTTGATTTTTCATGAAAGAATAATTGACTCCATTTTTTTATAAAAAATATTTTCTCTTATCAAGGTTAAAATAATGGAACAAACGACGGAATGTTAATTATTTTACAACAATACCATATCAGAATTACGATAAATATATATATGAATTTATTCAATAGCATCAATAGCATTTGAAATGTCGATGTTTTTTCCCTCGGATAGCATAAAGCTCAAAATTGGTCTTCTTTTTTCATGGTTAGAGCTTAACATTCAAATCACGCTCTACGGAATAAAAAAAAATTTTCAAGTTTCACAGAGCCAAAATAATTTTTAAATTTTTTAATACACATAGTCGTTTTATTTTTGATGTTGTCAAGAAATAACTCAGAGTTTGGTGTGTTTTTACCGGATGTGAGAACTCATTTATTAGCAAAACATAACAACAATCGACGACAGGTCTTTTAACTTTTACTTCATTATTGATCTATTTTGATTTTGATCTTTCACACTATTAGTTCGATGTGTGTTTATTCTTATTGGCAACCCTTTACAACAACAGCTTGTTTGTTTATCTATATATATAAATTTTTGTAGTATTTCATTACTTCGTTTGTTTTTGTATAAAGTTTGTTTGAAAACATAAAAATTAAAATGTCTTCTCAAGGATATTCGCCGTATACTATGAATGAATATATAAAAAATGTGGTAAAATTAATACTCAATAATTCGACTGCGAAGTTACCAATTAAGAAATCAGATATAATTACAAACGCTGTTGGCGGGAATACAAAGTTTTTTAATGATGCTGTTAATGGAGCCAAAGAAATTTTATTAGATGTAGATATTTTAGTTATAAAATTGTAATTTTTTTTTTATGATGCATAATTTTAACGATTACAGGTATATGGAATTAAGCTTCATGAAGTACCTGAATCAAAATCCACAAAATCTTATATTACTACTTCAACTTTAGAATCTTCTGTTTTGGAATTAACCGAAAAACAAAAACCTGAATTAACACTATTATTTTTAGTTCTATCATATATATTTATGAAAGGTGAACCCGTTAATGAAGGTAACTTTGTGTTATTGTGGTACTTTTTATGCATGTACATATGTACATAATGTAACTAAAATAAAATTGTAGAAGTCGTGATTGAATATTTAAAAAAATTGAAAATTCCTATGGAAGAACCTAACGATAGTTTTCCATTTGTTGTAAAGAAGCTTTTAACGGAAACATTTGTTAAACAACTTTATTTGAAAAGAACCAAAGTTCAACCAATATCAGCCAGTGAAGCAGAGTAAGATACCAACAAATTTAAAATTTAAAATTTTTACCTTTTTCTCTTTTTAAGGTATATTCTTGAATGGGGATACAGAGCTCAAGAAGAATTTTCAAAAAAAGATATTCTTGATATTGTAGCAAATATTTTGCAAAAACCTGCTGTCTGTTTTGTAAGGCAGCATTCTGAAGTTCGTCAGAAAGCTGTGGAAATGGAAATTGAAGTAGAAAATTAAAAAGAATATTAATATGTACATATTTTTGATCTAGTTTTTATATTAATCCCTGTTAAGCATTCTCTTCAATTTCAACTTAAATCCTAAATCTTCCTCAAGAGAAGTTTTTTTAATTATTTCTTTATTCGTACAGCCAACGATAGGACACTTATACTTGCGATTTTCAGAAATTGTCTGAAGAATAGAGTCCTAAAAAAAACAATTCAATAATTATTTTTTGTTATACTTATGAAAAACAAAAATTGATACATACCTTTTCATAATAATGGCCACAAATCTTATTTTTGAGAGGATTTTGCATTCGTTTTTTAGTTATGGGATCAATGTCACTGATTTCTGCAGTCATTTCAAAATCTTCATCTTGAACTAAATTTCTATGGTTCTCACTAGAACCTAATATTCAGCATTAAGTAAACGTTAAGAAAAGTAAAGCAAAAGTTACCTATTATTTCTGATATTTTTTCAATCCAATCTTCGTAATATTTACTTGTTCGAACATTCGTATTAGAATTGTTTCTGAGTTCTCTATATTTTGATTCAAATTCCTCTATGTTTTGCGCATCTTTGGACTTTTCAATACATTCGTCAACAATTTTAGCATTTGAGGCTATTGAAGCTATGTCAAAAATAAATTTCTCAAATACTTTTTTATCATTTAAAGTTTCATCTCCATATTGCAAAGCTAATTCGGCGGTTTTTGCAATACTAAAAGTTACTGCCTCAATTTTATTATTCAAAATAGCAGACATTCTATATAGAAACTATTTAAAAATTATAAAAAATTCGCGAGGTGCAATAAAATAAAGATTTATTTCCTATTTAAATCTTGTGGTTATTGTAATGAAGAATTGCAACGAAAAATTTATAATTTAACTTTATAATACACTAGTGTTTGTTTATATGCTTGGATTGGCATATACAATATAATACTAATATATCGAACATAAATAAATATCGATGATCTTTTAAACATCGAAATCGAGAGTCGTGTCAATTCATTGCATTCAATACATACATATTTGAAGAAAATTTAAAACTTCGTGTCAGCGCTTTGACATTTCGACCGTATAACAAAATTGTGATTTGAAAAAGCGTTAAACTTCCTTATGGTATAAGAATTTTGTTTGGTTCAATATTGTTATTGAATATTTTTACATTTTTTCTTTTATTTTTCTTTTATAATAATGATAACATAAAGACCGTTTTTCCCGCAATTTCTTTTTTTCAAATTAAAAATGACGTTTGCAGCAACATATAAATAAACGTTAATAAAATGAAGCTATAGAAACAGCAAATAGAATGAAAATTTCTTTTTTTCTTATGTGTTACATTGCACATTTCATATTGGATAAAATCGATAACCAGATATTTATATACACTTCTACAAATACCTAAGCAGATCTGCAAAAAAACGCTCTCAATTATTATCCATCCCAAATCAAACGTAAAGACAATAATAAAATTAACAAGTCTGCAAATCAAACATGTACAATTGCAAACAAAATTACAATATTTGTTAGCATTAAATAAAATGAGTGAAAATTTTAAAAATAAAATTTTAATGAAATTTTAAGAATAAAATGTTATACACAAAAAATATACATACATACATAATTTAATAAATTTTCTCTTAAATTGGCTACATTAGCCTTTTATTATAATGATATTATTTTTAAAGCTATACAGTAATTGCATTTTCTATTTCTAATATTAGGTATGACATGAATTAATTTAATACTTTAAATCTTGTACAATTAAAGGTAAATATGTAGATTCTTATAACATGTTTTATATACTGTATGTACATAAAAAAATTTTAATACTGATTTACTAATTTATGTGGCAAATATATATGATTCTTTTCCTTACAAAATAACAAGATAACTTTGAGACCAAATTTACTCTACATTAAATTAAAAATATAAAAAATCCACAAAAAATGTTTTGTTTTTGTGTATTTCTGTATGTACATACGTATATTAAAAAAAAATCACAGTGTTCTAGGCTCCAATTTTCCCTTTGTTTGAGGACAGTTTTCTATTTAAACTTGTTGTCATCTCTAAGAACTCTGTAGCCTTTTTGTCACATATTTTCTAACTAATGGCTCGTTTTCGATAATTCGATTACAAACTTTGTCATTTTAGTAAGTTGAACGCGAAAAGACCCTAAAAACTTAATTACGTGAATTGCAATAATGCTTTTTTAATTAACTTTTTTTTATCACGTCTTAAAATAATTTATCTTGTTCCTTATTACAAATTCAGTCAACTTATTAAGAAACATGATTGCAGTTCAATTTGGTTTTAAATTTATCTAAAACTTATTTTATATTTTACTAGATGTAAAAAAAAAAAAAATCACGAATTTTTATATTAAATCGCTTGGAAATAATTGAGATTCGCCTTCAGCAAGAAAAATTTTCATTGCCTTCAAAAGTAAAGCTACCCCTAAACACTTACGTTTTCTCATTGTCCATGAACTAGCTGGACCATAATAGTCCCCTCTTTTCATGTTAGTTAAATGCTGTAAGCCCATTGTATCTATTATAGCAGCTTCTCTGGTATATGCTTCTGCTGGTAATATATTGTGGAAAACATGCAAACATATTACCCCAGCCTCAGATTTCCAAATATCTAATATTCTAGTTAATTTATCACTTTCTGATAAGCTCTTCGACGGTGACCGAAATGAGCACATAGTTGGTTTAATTTTTGTACCAAATTTTCTAAAGCTTAAAATTTCAGTTATATCATCAACATCAAGTTTTTTAGATCGCATGTGAATTTTCATGGCATCATATAAATGTGCATACGGTCTAACACTTTTTCCTTTACCAACATAAAATATAGATAAAAGAAATTGTTTCCAAGTTTCATGTTCGTTTGTAAATTTGCTTTTAGCTGGTAAATTCTGTGATATACGTGGATCTATTAAGAAATATATGAAACTTTGTTTTAAGTTTCCTTCACGCCACTTTTTATCTGTATTTTTGTGGTTATTTTTGAATTGCACTGACATTTCTTCTTCAAATTTATAATATTCCGTAATTCTTCTAAAGAATTCTGGATTTGAAACGGTTTTTAGAAGTTCAATTGAATAATTTGGTATTTGTTTACCATTTGATGAATTTTGAACAGATAATTGTCTCTCAGGGTCTCTTTTATATTTAATTAAACGTTTTGTATACAATCTTTTGGTAGTTTTTGTAATTGGCCCAGGTGGCTCTCCAATTTTTGTCAATTCTTCTCGCAAAGCTTCAGTGTCATATTCTGATGGAACTGTTATCTGTGTTGATATTGTTGAACGACTAGAATTTAAATTTGCGCTTTTTCTATCATTTTTATTAGTGTTCATAGCTAATTTTTCTTCAAAAAATACCAGCCCTTCATCCCGATCAATGTATTGGTATTTTTCGGACATTTGATACAAAACTTGTTCGGCTTGAGAACTTTTAATTAGTGTTATATCATTTAAACATTTTTTATTTTCTTCTGGAGCTAACGCCGTTGCAAAACTAGTATCACTGTTGTACAATCTTTTTTCACGTAATGTGTTTAGAAGCTTTCCAAATGCTGTATCATCCAGCTTAAAACCCGATTTTTTTTCTTCTACTTTTTCAAATACTACATCTACTATTTCAACTGAAGTATTTGTAAAATCTACATTTTCATCTGAAATAATACCATCTAAAAGATTTTCTAAATCATCGAAATGGTATAAAATTGACTGATTTCTCTTAGATTGTTGAACCTTTTCTCTCCAACTTTGAATTAGAGAAACTCTGGAATTTTCATTTGTTCCATTTTTAGTTAGTTCATTGAGATTTTCTTCTGTAAGCTCAAACAAATTTTTTTTGGCATGATCATTCATTGTTGATGTTAAAAATGATTGATTTTCTTCAGGTTCATGAGATATTTTACCATGACTTTCGTCATTTTCATTATCTTTGATTGTATCTTGATTTTGTTCAAGTGTCTTTGTTTTATTTTTGCGTCGGTGTGTGATATTAACGAAATACGGAGATGTTATATCGAAATTGTAATTAATACGATTTGGGGTATATTTGTTTTCATCAAGTTCAGCAATAAAATCATCATTTTCATTTTTCTTTAAAAAATCTAAAGCCTTTTGCTTTTCCTTAATTCCTACCTTATTTTCAATCTTTTTTTCAAAAATAAATTTTTTAATAGTTTCTATGACCTCAAAATGACAGTCGAATACTGCATATTGAAGTGGTGTTCTATTTTCTTTATCCATTATAGTAATATCAGCTCCTTTATGTAGCAGCATTCGAACAAGTGCTTGTCTTCCACTCATAGCAGCGATATGAAGCGGGGTCAAACCGTCATCAGGTGTTGGTAAATTTGGGTTAGCTCCATAATCTAAAAATAGTTCAGTGACATTTTCCGCTAATTCCAGGTTTTCCATTCCACAACTGAAATGTATAGGGGCGAGATGTCTTTCTATTATTGTAAAATTTGGATCAGCGTTATGTTCTTTCACTAGTTTTTCAACACATTCATAATTTTCATCTTCAAGTGCATCTATTAGAGCTATTGATAAGAAATTTAATCGTTTATCCATTTTAAAATTATTAATTTTATTTTATAAATCCAAAATTCAGTAGAAGTTTAAAAAATAGGTTTTTTTTAATTAACATACTATAAATGTACTTCTATTTTTAGTAAAAGTTGGTTTATTTTTATTTTAGAATATTCAAAATAAAATCTTCAGCTAATTCAGCTGTTCTTATCAAAAAAGGTGAAAGATTTGAAAGAACTGTAGGAGTACTATTGAGAATTTCCCAAAATAAATCTTAAGGTCATTCAATATCTTCATTTGCGTTCGATTGCAATTTAAAATTATTTTTGCAGATTATCTAGTGGTAGTTTAGGGAATGGATCAAATGATTTTCCGTTCCGTTATCAATATATCATATATAATTTAAAACTAGCATTTTGGAGTGACTTACTTTATTTTTTCATCTGATGCAACTGTAATTATATTATAAATTATCATCTCGACGCTTATAGTTCCTTCACATCTTATTTACCAATTATGACTTATAAACTAGCAGCTTTCAAAAATTTATGTTGCACATTGATTTTTATATAAGTGCAACGTATGTTTTTATGATGTTACAATAGGAACTTAATCTTTAAATCTAGTGTATCGCAGAAAATTAATATTCGTGAACCGATTTAAATTGAGAGCATCAAATTTATTGAAGTTAAATTTTTTTTAAGTTATTCAATATCGAATATTAAAATAAAGACTTTCATTGAAAATATTTTCATATTCATTTTTTCGCTTTTTTGGAAAAAAACTACAAAATAGTTTCTAAAAAATATCTATGATGAACGTAAAAGGTACTGAGGTGAACAAAAATTAATTATAAAACAGCAAGAACACAAACATTTAAAAATTTTAAAAAGTTCCCAAAAAATTTAATTATTTACCACAGTACAGTTTTAGATTTACTGTTTGCTTAATCATTCTTAACAAACGTCAAAGAATTCTTTTTACTTTAAGATTATTTCAGAAAAAGTAAATAGAGATTTTTAAAATATTAATGAAAGCCTCTTAAAGTATCACATATTTATTAAAAATTTAGGAAATTAAAAAAACAAAAAACAAATTTCTTATTTACTAAAATCATTTTAATAACTGATCTTGTTAAAATTTATATTGGATTCAGGTGATAATTGGTAGATATTTTTACGACGGAGAAAATTTTGATTAGATTTGAAAATATTCATGTATGGGTTGCAAATTATCGAAAGATGAACCTCCGCCTGAATCATTACCCAGAAAAATTATTACAGAAGTTGACATGGAGAAAATCGATTATAAGAGCCGATTAGAATACAAAATATGTTTGGTAAATATGTAATACGTGCTTTTTTAAAATATTTGATGTACGATTGTAGATAATCTTTTTTACGTATGTATATGCCTATATAAAATCACTTTGAACCATTAAATAAAATAATTTTCATAGTACTAATTGCATTTTAAATGACTACTGTTAATTACAGGCAAAAGATACTCCAGAGCCAGTTTTTGATTTATCAGAATGTAATTTAAAAGAAGTTCCTTCTGGTGTTTTTATTAATTGTCGTATATTGCGTAAAGAGATTCTAATATTAAATAACAATAGATTAACGTCTTTTTGTAGTACACCGACTGGACAACTTCGTGATTTGTCCTTGTTAACCACTCTTGATTTAAGATTCAACAAAATAAAACTACTGCCAGATGAAATTTATACTTTAGAAAATCTTAGGGTAAGCTAATATGTTTAAGTTTATTATCAATACTAATTAATTATATTTGAAAATAGGAACTATTACTTGCAAAAAATAATATCGTCAAATTACCTAAAACAATAAAAAGTTTGAAATATTTAGAATTACTCGACATTTCTTGTAATAAAGTGCAATCGATAGATGAAATAAATTTAATGCCTAACTTACGTATTCTTAATATAAGTGAAAATAAGGACTTGAAACGTCTCCCCGTTATGTTGTATACATGTGACAATCTGCGAGATTTGATACTGGATAAAGATGTGATTGAATGGCCAGAAGCGGATATATTAAACCAAACAACTGACAGTATATTAAAATATCTGAGTACGGGAGAGAAAATTGATGAAACAGACAGCAATATTCCAGAAAAAACTGAAAGGACAGCTGGCGCCGTCGAAATTGCTCAGGATGCACTCAAGCTAAATACTGATATTTCGAAAGAAGATGTGAATTGATTTCAAAAAACAAAATTAAGTTTTTTTAATAAACTTTTATTTCAGGCCTTAATTAGACAATTAGACAATTTGATGAAAAGCTCCACAAAAAAGCGAAATTCTTTACAAATTATTACCGATGGATATGGAAATGAAGATGTATGTTATAACGGCGATATAAAAACCATTTATTTTATTTATTTAAACAAACTATAATTTTAGGCTCTTTTTGAGGAAATACAATTAAAACAACAAAAAATGAAGAAAGAAGTAAGAACAATTGGCATACATAATAGAGTTTATAGAGTTTTCCCTAGAAATGTACTTTCTTTAAACATAAATTCCTACATTTTTTAGCTTTTGCAAACTGTTCTGCTGCAACAAAATGAAAATGAATCTTTATTCAATAAAATCCAGCAACAAAGAGATATTGAAAGAACAAAATTGATTGAAGATATTCGTAAAAGTAATTATTATAGATTTTTATTTTTTTTTTTTTTAATTTTAAGTTTATCAATTAATTATAGCTGAAGAAAATGCTAATGTAGTTATTGAAAAATTTTTGGCATTGAAAAATAATTCTGACGTAGAGCTTTTGGAAAAAGAACAATTGGAAAAAGAACGTCTGCTTGAGAAGGTTGTTTTAATAATTAGTTGTTGTTTTAAAATAGGAGAGATTTCGTAAATTTTTTTCATCTCTTTGCAATTGTAGGTTCAATTAGAACATTCTGAACTGAGGAAACAAGAAATGTTATGTATTATGAGTGAGGTTTTACGAGATGATCAATATAAATTTGAAAGTTTTTTAAACAATCGATGTGCATCTACTGTAGATATTTTAGAAAAAGAACAAGAAACATCAAAGCAACTGCAAACATTTTTTTCAAATTACGAAAGGGAGCGTGGTCTTATAATTGAAAAAATTTATGAAGATGAAGAACTGCAAAAACAAGCTGTTGCATCTTTAATATCTAAAAACGATGCGCGTTCGTGGGGTCTAATAGAACAATTAAAAATTGTTGAAACTCAATTAGCTAGTATGACTGTGTTGGAGATTGAGAAAAAACAATTTTCTAATGTAGAACAAATTGTAAGTATTTGTTTAAAGTTGATGTATGTATATAACAATCAATCAAATTTTTCTCATATTTTGCAGAATGAATTAGCTGAAAAAAGACTTCGTTTAACAAATATTTTAATGGATTTATTAGACCAACAAGAAAAACGGAAGGAACAAGTAAGTTACAACTTAATGTAAAACAAATTTATAAAAAATAAAAATTATATTCGGAAAATATTTTTAATAGTTATTGGATACACTAACAATAATGGAAGCTCAAAAATGCAACGAAGAGCAAGATTTTTGGTTATTGCAGTATCAAAAACTATTGGATTCCAGACCCCTTGAGTTTTCTGTGAAAACATCTTACTCAATTGATCCATTACTTGGATTTCAATTTCTTGTTAATGGCGTAATACATTGCCTACCGTTTTTACAAAAATTATGGCAAAATAACGATATTTGTTTAGAAAAATTAAATGAAAACGATTTAGAAAATGCTGGTATTCGAGACGAAAGAGATCGGCGTTTGATACTACTTTCAATTGAAAAATTCATCACAGAAACAAATAATACCAGTTATGCTCGTGTTCCCTCTGCTCCCGTACAAAGTCCATTAGACTCATTAAAGCCAACAAATGAATATAATGCTAAACCATCTACTTCGACAACAAAAGATAGTTCGGAGCACGAAATTTCAGAATGTGTTATTTGTATGGAAGAATATGTAAGTTATGGTTTTATTTTTTTTTTTTTATTATGTTAAATAAAATTTTATATTAACTATTTATTTTAGGTGAAAATAATTTTTATACCTTGTGGTCATATGTGCTGTTGCCTTAATTGTGAATCAAAAGTTGATTTATGTCCAATATGTAGAGGAAATATTGAGCGAAAAATTAAGGTTGTTCAACCTTAAAAAAATTTACATTTATAAATAAAAGAGCAAATCCAAAATTTGATATAAAAATTTACATATTTTTTATCGTTTAAAATTACTAAAGAATTAAATTTGTAAAAATATTAAAAAACTGCCTTATAAGCATTCTTATTTTTAATATGTAACTAAATTTTAAATGTCGATTTATTATACTGCGAAAAAAAAAATAAACAAAAAAAAATATAGCTTTTCGTTTTAGGTTTTTTTTTTTTATTAAAGATAAAATCTATATTAGAAAATTTTAACATTTACATTCATTGATAAATCAGTTTTTCACCATAATTAGAAGTTTTCTATTTGGCACATATTTTAAATAGGTTCTTATCGCTTTTAATGTAGTTTCTATTATACATATAGTAAAATATTTTGAATAGAAATAATGATATATTATGCTTATGAAGATTTTTAAAAAAAATAATTTGTTAAAAAATAAAGGCTTGTATGGGTTTGCATTGTTCTTTGTAAAAGAAAAAAAAAAAAACTAAATATAATTGCAACGTTCCTTTTGAACATAAATTACACAAGATGTTATTCTTTAAAATAATTTACATTTATATTTACGAAAATAAATTTAAGTTGTTCAAGATTTCAATATAAATTTTAAATTCTTAATAAAATTCTAATTTGTTTATCAGTTATAAATTTTTAATTATATCATTTTAATACAAATGTTTATATAAAAATTTATATAAAGTTTCAAAACGAGAAAAAATTAAAACTTTTTCATTTTTGAATTTCTTTCCATTGTGTTATTTTAAAGCAATTACATATGATATTATTATAATTCAAATTACATTTTTATTATTTTAATGCTATTGTTATTTACTGATTTTGAAAAAATTAAAAATTTTGTTAAACTTTTATCTATACATATATATATACCATAATTAATTTTTATAAATAAAATTTTAGTATTATTTGATTTATTAAAATACTGTATCTATTTTAAGAAAAGGGCAAAAAATATCTATTTTATTAGTTGAAAACGAGACATTCTTTTAAATGTTCTCATTATGATAAAATTGAAATTTTCTATGATAAAAAATAAGTTTTGAATTGATTACTAATTTTATTATTTCATATATGTATGAATTTTAAAAATTTTATTAGTCTCCAAATTTATTTATAAGCTAAAATTTTATTCCGAGTTCACTACAAATGTATTAAAAGAAACATTTTTTTATTCCTTTTTCATGAATATGTATAAAAATATCTATAATATATATATTTGATAATCTATCTATAAATTTTTACATGCATTTTTAAAAAATAACTAAATACTATTTATTGAAAACAGAAAACCTCATGAGTAATATTTAATTAAAAAATTAAAATTAATGTATTAAATTTATTTTAAACATGGAAAATTTACTAAAACAGGTTTAATATACATAAAATATGTTGGTTTATAAAATATATTAAGAGTCTTATAAATATTGATAGAGATGTTAAATCCAGAAGAAATTTTAAAATTATGAAAAAAAAACTCCAAGTACAAAATTACAGAAATCGAAAATTAAATGGTAATTTTTAAATTTTGATTCATTTGAGTTTTTTTGTCGTTTTTTTTCTGATTCAACATCTCAACTTGTTATTTGTATTATGATATGAGTTAAATAATTATTATATACTTTTTTTTTTTAATAAAATAAAATTTTAAATAATAAAAAATTATTTACTATAATATTTTAAAATAAATTATTGTTAATTTTACGAAACTCTTTCAATTCGTTTCAAATATTACATTTGTGATAACTTGCCAAAATTAATGAAAAAAAATAAAACGATAATAAAGAAGTGTTTTTATTGTAGTAGACGTTAAGGAAATTTATCTATTTCATCTTAAAAAAATTAAAGCAATTTTTAAAAAAGTTATTTGTATATTAATGTGAATGATTAAGTAAATAATTATATACATTCGTATATATAAATTTTGGAATGAATTTTATTTTCATTAGACTCATATTTATTTATGAAAATTTATAAATTTTTGAATGGAATTATTCTTTTTTTATAATAATACCTTCGTTATAATTAGATGTTAAATATATAGATTTTTTTTTTTTCTAAACACGAACTGATATTCTTATGTTCAATTAAGAAACTCCAATATTTTTGGGTTTCTATTTTTGTAAATCATAAAAATATAGGCAATTTTTATTTTATTGTGAATATTTTTAAGGCCTAGATGAAAGTCTTACAGTACAATGTTACAAAACATTTTTATTTAACTGAAATAACTGAATAACTGAAAATTTGTAACACTTTGCCTTTAATTATTTTAAGTACATAAGAGTAGTTATTTTAAGTATCTGCTTTCTTTATTTTGCATCAGTATTCTGCGAATTGCATAAATAGATCAAATATCTTTCTAATGATCACTTGGAAAACAATTAATTTGATTAATTGAAACTTAATTTTTTATAGACAAGAATTATAAATGAGATTTGATTTTTACAATTATTATTCATAAAAATTCTCCCTAGTAGGTAAATAAAAATGTATATATAAACATCTAATTTTTATGTATTTCGAAATTGTAATTATTTTTATGCATTTTAGAAATTTTGATTCTAACTTCATATTTAATTTGTTAAAATAAAATTAAAAAATCAAATACCAATTCGTTTGTTTTTTAGAAAATTTAATGTAATAAGTAAAAACACATTTTTTTTTGGTATAATAAATATAATTAGGAAAAATTAGGAAAAAAAAATAAAATTTATGAAATCTTCATGATTCACGCTTATCTGATTTTGATGACAATTTTTTAATGATTTTTTCTTTTTCCCATTTAGATAAAATTGCTTCAACTAATTGTTCAGGTATTTCGCATACATTTTCTCCTTTTGTTTTTTTATTGTTAGTACAAACAGTATCTTCAACTTTATCGTTACTCTTTACGATTCTATTTTTCTCACTATCACTAGATTTAGTAAGGATTTTACAGTTTTTACCATTATGACTGCTTCTATAACAATGTAATCTAAAATGCATAACAAATATGCATATTATGTAAAATTATGTTTTTAAAATATTTACTTACTTTTCATGTGAAGGTCGTCTACGGCTATCTGAATTTTTAAAGCTGCCATAAAAAATGAAAATATATTTTTTAAATTATTTTAAACACTAATCCAAAAATTCTTACATTGCTGTTTTTTCCTTAATCTCTTGAAGTAACTCCAATTTCTTTATATCTTCATTTGCTTTAATAAGCAATTTTTCTTTTTCTTCCAAAATTAGTTTTAATAAAAGAATTTCATTTTGGGTATCATCCTCTATTTTAGAATTTTTTAATGATTCTTCCAAGAAAGTTATTTTCTCCTCATACTGTTTCAAGCGTTCATCTTTACCTTCGTTTTCTATTACTGCCAAACTTACCTTAAGTTCCAGTTCCTTGAATTTATCTTTGACTTCATCCATTGTTCTTGTATGGAACTCTTCCATCGATAAAAGTTTTAATACCATTTCTTGATTATCGGCGATTTTACCATCTAAATCATCTTTTAATGTCTTTAAAGACGCCTTTGATAAATACAATTCCTCTTCTAATTTAGCAGAAGGACAATTTTTGTTGAGGTGTACTTGATCTTCAGTGACGCAAGTCAAAAAGATTTTTTGCAAATTGAGTGAACTACTTGCTTGCCGACAATGTGGACATGTTCGGTGTCTAAAGGAGATAAGAATTGTAATTTAAAAATTTTTAAGTTATTTTGCTCCATTTACCCACGAGAATACCATTCTGATACACAATTAAAATGAAATAAATGACCACAAGTTGTTGTTCTAACATCTTCTGTGGGACCTATTAATTCTGTACAGATTTCACAAAATAAACTCATTATCATCCAGAATTAATCTTAGATTTATATTAAGTATGTATGTTTTTAGTAATTTCTTTTTTTCGCTTTTGCTGCTTAAATTTAAATTTAAAATTTTGGACACGACCCATTCACAACAAATATCAAAACTAATGATAAGATAAAGTATTTTTTTTAATTTTGGGGATTCCCTTTTGTTTAATTTTCTTATGTAGTTGTATTAACATAATGTTACATTCCCTATGTTTACACAACGAGCTTGGCATAAATGGTTGACACATGTTTTATTCCTCTAGCCAATAACTTTTTTGACAAACGGAATGAAACGTATGTGCTTACTTTCCCACAAAAGTAAATTTAAAAATCTTAGAATGCGACGTTCTTGATGTTTATTGATATCTTCTGATAAAATTAATTATCGAAAATAATTTGACGATAAAATTTTTTGATAAAATTACAATAACACAGAACTCTTAAATAAGTCAAATTTTATAAAAATACACATAAGTTCAATAAATTTATACACACACTTTAATTCTAGTTTACAAAGCATACTATCTACAAACCTTTCAATTTTATTTTGCACTCTACACTGTTATTTAAAACTAATTTTTTTAGTCTATTAATAAAATTTATCTACTGATTATGCCTCAGTTTCTTCCAGCCTTGTTTTTAAAGAAAAGAGTCATATATTGCAAAATATTTTCAACTTATGAATATGTTGCTGGCTATAACCGCTTTATTGGGGTTCTCGTATTAAATTTTAGCTCAGTTATCTTGGCAAAAAATCGTTATCTTTTGCTCTCGTTTGACAAAAATTATGAATTAAATTTTAATGAGTTAAATTTTAAATAAGTAGTAAGCGTCGTATATTTTGAAATAACTCTATTAAAAATAATTGATTTATTTTTTGACACTTCAAAGTATAATAAATTAAGATTAATATGCCTTGTCAGAAAATTAAATAATAATTTTTTTTGAATAAAACAATATAAGTAGGAAAAAGTAATTCCAAATCGATTGCAATCAAAAGGATTGATAATTGATCAAATCATTAAACCATATGTAAACATTTCAAATTTGGTGTCACACCGGCAAGCATAACTTCAATCGGTTTTGATTTGATATTAAATTTTTGTTTACTTTGGTATTTCCCTATAATTAGCTGAATTTTGCTAGATCTTTAAGCTACTAAATTTTTTGCTAGATGTTTTATTAAATAGTTTAAATGTCGTATAATTCAAAAGAATTTCCTATTGACTCTTTATTCGAAAAGAAAATTAGATATTTAAAACAGTCGAATTGGATTTTGCCGCATGCAAACGATTTATTTTGCACTGATTCCACTAATGAGGAAGTTGATGCTCTCCAACAGCTTAAAAGCAGCTTAAATTATACTAAATCCAAATTAAATGACTATCCAATAGAAAGATGGAGTAAACATACGTATCATCGTGATCCTGCTTCTGAAGTAAAATCGGCATTAAAATATATGGGAGCGGAGTTTGTTACTCAGGCATGGTGTAAATTTTATGAATGTCTTGAGCAATTCGAAATAGTTTCAAGTTCTGAGTTCAACAGTTTACATTTGTGTGAAGCTCCGGGGGCATTTATAACTGCTTTAAATCAATATTTATATTCGAATTTTCCAAAGAAACAGATTAAATGGAATTGGGTCTCGACTTCGTTAAATCCTTATTGTGAATCGAATCCATTAAAGAAAATGATAGTTGATGACCGATTTATTTTCCAAACTTTAGATCATTGGACATTCGGAGAAGATCTTACTGGTGATATTAAAAATCAAAGTAATATTGAGAAAATTGTTGCAGACGCCAAAAAAATTGGGAATATAAATTTGATCACAGCTGATGGATCTATAGACTGCGTTGAAAGTCCTGAATCACAGGAAGAGATTGTTTCTTGCTTGCATTTTGCCGAAATTTGTACTGCATTGTTAACTCTTTCAGAAAATGGATCATTTGTTATCAAAATGTTTACGTTATTTGACATGGCCAGTATTAGTATGATGTATTTGTTGAACTGCGTATTTCGGTTAGTTAATTAAAAATTAAAAAATTATTAGGCAGTAAAAGTTGTTTTGTTTTTTAAGGCATGTTAATATTTTTAAACCAGTTACATCTAAATGTGGAAATTCCGAAGTTTACGTGATTTGTATGGGATTTGATAGCAAAGCACCGAATTTCGATGGCTATACAACATTGATGTTGAGTAAAATTAAAGAGAACATGAAAATTCCTTCCTTGTTCAAAAAATCGCAAATTCCGTTAAATTTTTTAGAACAACATGAGGTTTATGTACGAATGTTTATGCAGTATCAAAGAAGTGCAATAGAATCTAATATTTATCACTTTGAAAATCCAACAAGAGGAGACATAAAACAATGTAGTAATATAAAACGAAACGTAGTAAATGCTTTTATTCAAAGGTACAAAGTAAAGCCTATTCCCAAGGAATGTTTAATTTTATTTAAGCAGCAGCCAATGAAAACAGAAAAATATTACAGTGATTACAGAGGTTCCTATTCTGATAGATGTCATCTAAAGGACTTGTCGGATATAGAAAAACTTAATATTTTTAAAAGTCATTTTGAGGAATTACAAAATACAATACATTTTCAACATCAGTTTTCTGAAATTTTGAGAACATCTGGAACGGAATTTATAAATTTATCATATCAATTTGGAAAACCTATTGAGAAATTAAATAGTAGTTTATTTTGCGATAGAGCATTGTTAATATTACGCGAAAAGGTGGATACAGTTTTTCCTGATCTTCGCAAAAATTCTCCTAAATTGTTAAATTCTTATTGTGAGTTGATTTTCGATTTAGAAAATAGTTTTAAAAGTGACTCTGTGGTCCTGCACTTTCAAGCAGGTTTTTCAAGTTCCGATTACGGTTTAAAGGAAAATGAATTTTTTGAGCAAATTTTTAAAAAAATTGGCTCCAGCACTAATATAAATAAAATAATATTTTATGATTTTGCTTTTTTAACTCATTCATCGACGTCTTTGTTAAAAGTATTATGGATGAACTATTTTACTGACATGAGTATTAAATATGATAGTGGAATTAACATTATAGAATTAAAAACAAGGAAAAAATCAAGTCATAGTGAAAAAGAAATCAATCACGAAAATTTGAAAAGTACATTTTTTTGTTGCATTAATATTAAGGAACTACACCAGAATGAGTTTAGCAGTGATATCAAAAGCTTCAATAATGCGGTTATTATGAAATTTTTTAATACATTATTTTCTACAGCTATTTGAGATATTGATTTATTTTATTTGTATTAAAGTTATAAAATAAAACTAAGTATATATATAAAATTCAAAAGTATTATTTCGATATTCTGTTGTTTCAAGAATTCAGTCAAAAAATTTTAAATACAGTTTTAATGCAGTTTTGCTGCGTAATAAAAATTTTTAAAATACTGCATTGTAAAAAAAATATTACAGTTATTGATACATACTTTAACAGTTTTAAAAATATCTTCTTAATGGTGTCTAAATTTATAATTAACAGTGCAAAACAAAGCCAAGCGCTTTAAATATTTATTTTGAATCAAGATTCAATGTATATTTTAGATTTTACAAGATTTTTGAAGCTACGGCTCTAATGCCTTATAAATTTTTTCATATAGTTATCAATTGGGAAATAAATTTAACGATAAATCGAGAGGGATGGCTATTTTAAATTTATCCAGTCATAATAAGCTTTGATAGCTGCAGTTACCTGGCAGTTGACCTTCACATCTATCTTTCCGTTTCCTTATTGTATTGTGCATAATGTGTAAAATATGACAATGAAATTGCTAATGGCAAATTTGTGTACTATGAATAAGAATTTTTAGAAAAACTAATACAAATTTTCTCTTTTAATTTCAGTAATTCCATTACAAATTTTTCGGAAATTTTATTTTTGTACATGTGAAAAGAACAATATGTACATACTTTAAATAAAATTGAACGAATATTTTAAAAGTATTCCATAAGTTCAAATTTTAATTTTTTAATAAAGAACGAAAGATATTTAAATCACGTTTAATACAAAATATACCAAGTGTTATAAAATATGATATTATTCTAACTTTATTAAAAAAAATCAGTAGGGTCAATAATAATTACCGGGATTTATAGAATAATTTATAGAAGAATATTTCTTTTAAATAAGAATCTAAAAATAAAAATTATTAACTTGTTAAAATGAATTTTGTTGTTATAATTTTTTTTATGTATACGAATAGCTAAATCGTAAGGATTTCTAAAAATAAAGGATTTATTGAAAACAAAAAAACACAAATGTTTCACAAACATTATTTATTTTTATTTAAATTCATTTTTTATTTTTTTTTTTTTAGTAAATATTAAGTTTTGGGTTTCTTCTTAGTTTTAAAATTTAAAATTAATGTTCACATTATTTAGACAATATCATCTTAATTACATAAAGTTTTATGAACTTATTATAAATATCTAATATGTTTTTTTTTTTTTTGCGTTTGTTATATCTTAAATATTGTTATACCATTCAATATTCTAATTTATTGCTGAAAATACTTATTTATATTATATACACATATTATGTAAAACTTTTTAAATGGAAAGATATTTTAATAAATGAGTTATAACTATATATGTATGTATTTTTACTAAAAATAGATGAATGAATATTTAATTTTGAATTTTGAATGTTCATAATGATTCATTATTTCATTAATCTGAATTTTATGAAAGTTACTATATTGTTTTAACATACATGTATAAATGTATATGACAGGGAAAATAATAAAAAATGATTTTTTGAAGAAATAGCCTTCATAAGAGGTAAAATTGCAGAATAATTGAGTTTTTAGTAACCAATAGTGTATTAAGCATAGCAAAATTAATTACACTTTTCAGTGAAAAACTGAAAAATGTAAATTATTATAATAAAAATAAATTTATGTATTTTAGTTATTTCTAATAAATTTTTAAATTATATTGTCTTTTACACCAGAGCTTAAAAATTTCATTATTATTATAGAAACGGAATAAAAAGTGGAATAAATGTATTAAATATACATGCGAAATATGTAATTCTTTTTATTCTAAACATTTTCGCGATACAAACATATGTAATTTAAATTATTTTAAGATCACATTAATAACCCATAATATGATTGAATATTGTTTGTAGATTTTTTCATAATATACTAGTAAAAAAATTTTGTTATAACGTTTCCGTTTATGGGCTTTTACTCAATATCATTACATTTATATTTAACTAATTATACATTTAAGAAATTAATTAAATTTCTAATAAATAAATTAATGTGTTTTTTTTTTCTTAATTACATCAATTATATTTTAATCTCTAATTAAATATTAAATTAATAATACAATAATTAAGTAATTTTATTGCATTATTAGACATTGATACATTTGTATGTTATTTGAAATTTATTGTTATTATATATAAATACATATACTATATATCATAAAATACTATATTTAAATATATGTACATAATTATGCAAAAGTAAATTTATATTAAAAAAAAATATATATATATTGTGATAAATTTATCCTAAATCTTAAAATTATATATGTTTACAATTATTATATATTAAGAAATCTTTATTTATTTTTTAAATCTAATTATTTTCATAATTATAAGTGTATGTATCTATTTAAAAATCTAACATGAATTTACTTAAATTGATTGAATTTGAGGAATTTTTGTTCTGTTTTTCTTTTCAATGATAATTTTGTTGTAATTTTTATTAACATAATTAATTAATTTTCAAATTTAAAAAGTTTTTTTTTTTTTGTTTTATCTTTTTTTGTTGTAATTAACTTTCCTTTTTTTTTTTTGTGACAGCCAAAAATATGATTGTCATAGCATTTTTAATATTATTACATTATTTTTTTTTTTTGAAAGATTTTTTATTTTTGTCATAAATCTTATAATAATATTCGAGTCGCTTAAAAAAAAATTATAATAATATTAAATCATAATATGAATGGATATAATACATACATATATGTACATAACGTATTACATTATGAGAATATATTTATGTGGACATTATAAGATATATGCATACCTTAAAAATTTATGAGTAAGATGCTTGACATAGCAAAAATATCAGTTGTATTTCTGTTCATACCACATGATGTATAAAAACTATATTTGAACCATATACCTATCTATAGTGGATATATATCCTAATTACTAGGCATCAGTTTTATGAAGTTATGCAAACTTTTTGAAGTTGGATATTTTTGAGTGTTTATTAATTCTTTAAGTGTGACCTAGAAAATTTTGTAAAGGTAAGATTTATGTACGAAATTTTATATCACCACTCATAATTTTCATAAAACTTATAAATTCTTATTTATTTATTTTAGATATGAGTAAATCAGAAACGTATATACATATATATATATATATATAGAAACCAAAATATTTTGTTTATGTCTACATATTCTCATGGAACCATATAGTCATTACGAAATATGCAATTGAAATCTAAATTATAATAATAATATCCGTATATAAAAATAATTTTTGCTTAAAAAATATGTATAACCATATAAAAAAAAAATATATTTAATATTAATTTTTAATATACTGTAAAATTAAAAATATGAAAAAAAATTAAACAATAATACTTTTCTTATATATTTTAATGCATAAATTACATAATATAAATATGAATAACAGTATATATTAATTAAAATTTAATATAAACTATTATGCATAAAATTTAATATATAAACTGTACACATAATTGAAAGTAATATTTAATTTATACAATTATAATACAATTACTGTATTTTTACTATACATATATGTATTTAGCTTAAATTCTATACTAATATGAAGAATATTATATTAAATTTATGACTCTATTTCTTTTCTTTTATTTTTTCAATTTATTTGTATAATAATTTCTCTTAAATTTATAATATTTATTTTTATAATTTAAATTTCAACATATATGTAAATGTAGGAATTGATATTATAATATTATTATAATATTTATGCATCAAATAGTTATTACAATTATTTTAGTAAAATAAAATTTTAATTATTATATTTTTACTCTAAATTTTACTATATTTATTATATTTAAAGCGTAATAATTTCCATAATATTTTTTTTTTTTATATAGTGATGATTTTAATAAGAGTACTTCAATTTTTTAAATAAAAATTTTAATTTACTATAAACTTTCATTAAAATTAAGGAAAACATTGTTTTATAAAATGATTGAAAATTTGAAAGAATAAAAAATAATTTTGTTTTTTTTTTTTGTTTTCATATTTATTAAAGCTGTTTTAGAAATTTAATTTAAAGTGGTTTCGAAAACTCAAATTTATTAATTTTTCATCATTTTATTAATCAATTCGTTATTATTTTTAAATATCAATATTTAATATTTTTAATATTTTTTTTTCTAATTGTTTCTCAATAATTTTCTAAAATGAATTTTAATCACTTTTTTTCCTAAATTTGTTAGTTTTTTAAAAGTTTATAATTATTTGTAAATTAAATCAAATAGTAGAATGTAAAAAATGTATTTTATGTTTTTTTTGTCTTTTTGCATTTTTCTTTGGGTTTATTTTTGTTTTTTTTTTTTTAATAATTTTGTTTAGAATTACCCGCCTTTCAAATTTTGTTTTTGTTTAATATTTTTTCATAATTCAAAAAAAAAGCATAATATTGTATAATTTCAATTTCTTTTGTTATATTATAAAAATTTACAATTAAAAAAAAAAAACAATAAAATTATAAAAATTTTTTAATTAATATTCTACTAATATTTATTTTAAAAGAAAACTTACATATTTTATAATTTAAAAATATTTTTGTTAGAAAAGATTTTCTAATTTTATTTTGTATATTTATTTTTTGAAAAAAGAATGTATACTTATTATTTAAATATTTTTTAATTTAATATCATATTTGTGCAGAATATGAGCCATACATATAGGTTGTATGTGTGTATGATGCATCTTATGATATTAAAAAATTTTTTAATTTTAATTAAATATTAAAATACAAAAATTTTTTTTTATTTTATTAACTTTACATAAAATTATATCTAAAAGACATATTAAATATTATGGTGGTAAATTAAATATTATTATATAAATATATATATTAAACAGAGATTTGTGTGACGTAATTTATATTAAGTATAAATAGAGTTACTATTATGTTGTATTTTTAATTTATTTATATGAATATATCTCTATATACATATAAGTAAATTAAATATACTTAAATATTTAATATAAATATAATTTATGTAAATTATACAATAATTGAAAATTGTTTTCTTGTTTTTTTTTTTTTTTTGATTCTTTGAAATCTTTCACTTACGATTACCGATAGTACAATCGTCTTCCTATATAATATTATGTATAATATATTTGTTAATATTATAAAATTATAGAATATATTTAATTATATAATGCGTATATATATAAATATAATATATTAATAAAATTTTTTGTTCAATAGTATACATAATTCTAAAAATTATTTCTTTAACTATATATCCAATTATATAAATATTCTATTGAATATTAATACGTATTACATTTATAAGATAGTTATGATAACGTATTAACGTAGTACTAAAAGTATTTACTTAATATTTAATCTATATATGAGTTCTACAAGAATTTCTGACTATATTTAAATACAAGTTAACCTAATGTTAATAAAAATTATTTTATAGTTAAATATCGCAATAATATTATAGCTATTCTATATTGAAATAAAGGTTTTTTTTTATAAAATAAAATCAAAATGCTTTTTGTTATTTTGATGTTAACAAAAATATGATGTTAAAATTAAAAAAAAACATATTTTATATAATAAAAAATATGTTTTTTTTATATAAAAATGTTATTATATTATTTAAAAAATATATATAATTTATTAAATTCAAATATTAATGTGGCATCACAATTTTCAAGATTTATGTAAGTAGTAGAAATTTTGAGATTTAATAGAAAATTTTATTGAAAAATTAAAAAGTGTTGGGTATTTTATTTAATTTTTTATTTTTTTTTTTTATTTTATTTCCGCCTACAGGTTGTGTAAATATGCATTTTTATAATTTTTAAAATATGTTAATTTTAGTTAAAATTTCTCTCATTTTTATTTGGAATTTTCTGTGTAAAACTTGAAAAATAAGATTTTTGATGGGATTTAGGAATGTTTAATTAAAGAAATGGTGTCAGTTATAGAATATTTATAAGATTGTAATCCCGTATTAAATTCTATTATATTATTTTTTAACACTTAAATTTATACTGTTCCAATGTTTATTAATTTTTTTTTATTTTATATATATCCTTAACCTCAGCTTGAAATACGTATATAATATGTCAACAAATTCATGTAATTTAATATTAAATTCAAATATTCGTATTTATATGACTTTTTATAATTTATTATAAATAAAGAAATTTATAAATTTAATAATCATATTAATAATTTTAGTATATACAAAATTTTGAAAATTCTTATAATTGAAAAATGTATACTATTAATCTTTGTTTTTTTTTTATTATTTTAAATTTTCAGTAATAAAATAATAAATCAAAAGTAATTTTTGATTTAATAATATTATAGAGCAACGTAATTTTGTATAAAAATAATAGATAGTAAAAAGGGAAAATTATTTTGTATTGTTCTTCTAAGTAATTTGTGACTATATTTTTTTTTTTAATTTTTATTGTACGTATAACAATTATTAATTAATAATTATTCAGTTTATTTACTAAATATTTGCGAACTAAGTATGTAACGTATATGTGAATATAACAAAAATAATTTCTTCAAATAATTCTCATATTAATTACGATATAATAAAAGGTAATCTCAAATAAGGAAATGTAGCTTTTACTCTAATGTTCTTGTTTTTATAAAACTTTAATAGAACTTATAGTGTTATATTTGAAGTACAATTAAGTGTTATGCTACAAGTATAACACTTATACATCTTTATACCTATTGTAATTGCCGCGTAGAAAACAAAATGCTCTAAAAATGCATGAAATACTAGGTTTGAGATAACATTTACTTCCAAAATGCAGAAATACAGTATTAAAACATAACTCAACTTATGAATGTAAATTATGCATTAATATCATATATTACTGCATTTTGCAATTCAGAGGTTAATTTAAAAAGGTAATAATTTATAGGTTTATTTCATAAAAGACTGTTCTGACCTTTATACGTTTAGAAAATTTACAGATTGCTTTTGGTCTGAACAGACGACGGACAAGCATACAGTTTTTTTGAAAAATATATATCCAAAAATATTTCTTAAAAAAAATAACTTTAATTTTATTCGTAACTTCCATTTTATCTGCTTTATTATGTTGTGACGAATAATAAATTATAATTCACAAAGTTTTAAAAACATTATTTTGGAAATTATAAGATTTTTTCTACAAATAAAAAATGGTAAAACTAAAATCTACTTGTCTTATAGCTGTAAAATTATAATCTTTTTTAATTGTTATGTAAATTTTGCTCAAGCTATGTAATTATATGTAAAAAATTATAAAATAAAATTAAAAACCTATTTCGTGCTTCTAAATTAATAAAACAAAAAATTCTTTTTTTTTTTTTTTTTTTACTTAGAACAATTTCATAATAGTAATATTACTCGTATGCTGTAATCTTTTCTTTGCTTTGGTAGATTTATACTAGGTGAAACTGCAAGCTATATTGAAAATTAACAAACTATTGAATCTTAGACGTGCTATTGATGCGCTTTGTAATTTAAGCAATATTATTAGCGAAAAATAAAATTTAAACTTATGTGATTAATTGTCATTTACTACGGTTTTTAAATAGTGACAATAAAATTCATAGCATAAATTTTTGGTATGCTATTTTTTGTTTTATTCAGAACATAATATGAAGTATGTTCAATTTAAATTTTGTTCAGTTTAAAGAATAAAATTGCGCTCTATATATATTAATCATTTTTTTAAAAATTTATTTTACAATTTTTAATATTTTAATAATAAAGTAAATTTTGTTAAAAGTATAGGTATATGTACATATCTAAGTGCTTATATATATATTTCATATGATATTTTATGATAATTTAAAATAAAAAATTTAAATAATATCTATTTAAATAAAAATACTATAATAATTATACTAAATATTTTAAGATGCAGGGAATAAACCGTGTATCATTCATTTTAAAAATGATTTGATATTCTTTTCTGTATAAATAATTTTAGTATTTTCCTGTTGTTTTTAAAATATAAAATTTATTATAATTTTATTGTAATCGATTATATTATAATCGATTATTATCATAATCGATTTGAAATAGTTAAATTTTGTTTTGAGAAATTTTGTTTTTCTTTTCAACTAAATTAATTTTATAAAAAAAAAACACCTGACACATTTCTTAAATTATAATATGTATTTTAATGAATTAAATTAAAAATATTAATTTTTAATAATAATAAAAATAAAATAAAATTTTGTTTACTTGGACAAGATAAAATAAAAACCAAGTCAATAAGTTACATAAGTAGGAATTTAATATTTTTAATTAAATTTTTTTGCAATATTTGTGTAGTAATGTTATTAATTATTGCGTATAGAAATAAATATTTTGTTAAGATACAAGTTATTTGTAAATTAATACACTAGTCAATTAAATATATAGAATGATATTGTAAAATAAGAACATATGGAGCATTATTAAAATTTTAAAACAAAATTATAAAATATTCTAACTTGATCTTGCAAAAATGGAGGTTAGACCTATTAGACAAAGTTATATGTGTTTTTTGCGATAGTAACAGTTAACTAATTTTCTAAAAAAAAAATTGAATATTCATGTAATTAACTTTATGACAATATGAATTATATGAACTCATGAAATTCACAAACAATATGAATTTCATTAATGTATTTAAAAAATAATTGTTGTGGTAATAAACGTTTTTCCTATACAAAAATAATATTGTAATCTACAACGAGAGACAATCAAAATGAAAAATTTTATAAAATTTTAAAAAATCGGTTAACAATTTTAATATTTGATCATTTGTCAAAAACAATTTAATCTTAATGCAATTTTAATGGATTTTGACAAATGCCCGAAAACAGTATTGTGTTCTTTTTTTCATTATAGTTAATATAAAATTTTCAATTCCAAATTAATATAATTGTGTAAACGTATAGTAATATGGTGTTTTAATGTTTCTATGAATTTATTGTTACCAAATTTTTGCAATAGATGTCACTATTATAGATGAGTACTTTGTAATTGTAATGTTTTTAAATTAATTTTTTTTTTAAATAACTGTTATGTTTTAAACTTTAAGTTATATATATATATATTATATTTATATATATATATATATATATATATATACTTTTAATTAATGCCAATTTAAATTAATATTGTTCTATATAATTATTAAATTTTTTTTTTGTTTTTTAAATTGATTATGTTTTATTATTTTAATGTGTTTTTTTTTGTATATCGAATTTTTGTTGTTCGAAAATTATTTTCTTTATTCTTCAATGATGTAATCTACAATAAAATTTAAGATGAATTTAATATTTGATTAAAATTATGTATTTTTAAAATTAATGTATTTAAATTTAATTTCTATAATAACAAATAATTGTTATTAATTTCAATATTCATTGATAATTTAATTCCGAGCGATAATAAGATTCTTAGATAGGCACAATCGATTAGATAACGTAGAATTGCAAAATATATTATTTTTGTTGCACACATGAACTTGAAACATGTACTAAATTTATGTTTTTTAAATTGAAATTTGAACCTATTAAATATTTTGAGTATTTTATTAAATTTTTAAAGAAATTGTTACATGTCTTACAATTTTCAATATAAACAGAATTAATTTTATATTTTCAAAATTTTAAAATTTTTATATTATTTTAAAAATTCAATAATATCTGTTAGAAACAATTTTTCATAAAATTTTTATTTATATACTAATAAATTGAAAATTGAAATTAATAAACTTTTATAATGATGCTTAAATACTTTTTTTTAATTAACTAAAAAATTTAATATAGTGTAAATGACTAAAATAATTAAGCACTACTCACAATATTAAATGTGGTGATAAATTGTTATATTCAAAAAAAAAAAGAAAAAAATTTATAAAGCAATAATAATAATAATATTCACGACATTATAATTTCCAATATTAAAAAGAAAAGAACGAAAAAAAAAATTTTGGACCGGGAAAAGTGAGGGCTATAAAATTTTTGCATTACACATTTAGTTTATTTAAAAATATAAGTATAAAATATATTTATATGATGCAAATCAAATGCTTATAATATATAAAGAGAAAAATACACATT